GATGACACAGCTAGCAAATGTTAGAGTTAGATTTTAAACTCTAAGCCCTTTGCCCCTTTCACTACATTGTGCAAGTTCTTCACAAGCTAAGAAAAGAGGGAACTGAAGGGACAAGCATAGTCTAGTGAAATCAAAACAGAGAGTGTTTCTGAGGTGTAGTAACAAGGAGGTCACTGAACTTGGTCAGTTTCAGGAGGTGTGACGGGCAGAAGTTCTGAGGAATAACTGTCAGGCAAGGGATTCAGAGAATTTTTTTCAGGAAGTTTGACCATAGAAGAAGAGAAATGGAAAGGTACTAAAACAGAAAGTCAGATGTTAAAATGTTTAAAAAGTTATTTTTGCTTAAGACAAAAGAAACCTGTAGATGGTTGTAGGCTGACAGAAAATTTGAAAATGGGGGTAGTGGTGGTGCCTAATTGATTTTTAGTCTGTTGTGAATCTAGTGAGGTTGAATCAAAGTTTCTGAACATGAACTTTGGACCTCCAAAGCTGAGAAACTGAGCTTGCAAGCTGGTAATGTCACCGAAACACAGTTTACCTTAATGGGAACACGTGAGGATGGCAAAATCTTTATCTTGTCTTCTACCTGTGGCCATAGCCACAAACTCACCAAAGAGCGATTGCTTTGCTATAAAGTCTCTAAATCTGAGTGGTAGCATTACAGCTAAACGGTTAATCTCACTTGTAGTGTAAATAGCTGTGAGGTACCTTACCCCAACTGCAAAGATTTAAAACCATGAGAAGTCACTGCTGGTGAGAAGACAAATCGGTACAAACCTTTAGGAAAATAATGACACACATTTCCAGAGCAATACACATTCTGATATCGCTTGTCCAAGTAATTCTCTCTCTCAGAGCTTGGATACAGAAAAACAAAATCAAAGTCTGAAGATGTTTATTGCAGCATTGTTTACAAGAAAAAAACCAGAAGAAATCCGAGCATTCAAGAGTAAAGAAATGTCTAGACAAACAACTGAACATATATTTGATGGAAAATAGCATAGTGATTTAAAATACTCTTCACAAAGAAAATGCAACTTTCACAACATAATACACCTCTAGTGTTAAATGCACAAAGCAGAATAAAAATTCTACAGTATGAACACAACTATGTAAGCAGACCATCCGTGTAAAAAAAGACTAAAAAGGTCTTCACCAGGACTGACTGTTTGCCTGGTTGGTACCTGGGTAATGAAAAGGACACTAAACATGAAAAGATCTCTCCAGCTCTCCACTGTCTAGCAATGGCTTACATTACATTGAATACTATTTATTCTTCTGTTCACTTTTTCATATCCTTCTCTGGCATTTTGGTAATGCATAAATTACCCATAAAGAAATGCAGGTGTTTTGCTGAAAATGCACCAAAAGAAACCTCTAGACAACATACCAAGAAACCATCTTTAAAATATTTCTATTATGCTCAACATCATTTTTCTGTATAAAACAATACACATTTATTTGGAAAATACAGAAAAATTGTAAAATCACAGAGCTGTGTAAAGGTAAAGAAAAATTTCATTTAATTCTTCTACTCAGACGAGTGTTTGTATTTTACTGTGAAGGAGAGAGTTTTTTTTCTTTTTTTTTTGAGTCGGAGTTTCGCTCTTGTCACTCAGGCTGGAGTGCAATGGGCGATCTCAGCTCACTGCAACCTCTGCCTCTCAGATTCAAGCGATTCTCCTACCTCAGCCTCCCGAGTAGCTGAGATTTTAGGCATTTACCACCACACCCAGCTAATTTTTGTATTTTTAGTAAAGACGGGGTTTCACCATGTTGTTCAGACTGGTCTTGAACTCATGACCTCAAGTGATCCACCCACCTTGGCCTCCCAAAGTACTGGGATTACAGGCATGAGCCACTGTGCCAGGGCAGGAAACAGATTTTGGTGGAAGGGACTGCTATGTTTATCTGAAACAAATGCATATAATTCTGATACAAAACCCTGATGTAACATTTTACCCCTCAAGAAAGCCATAGACTGTGTGGTGCAGGTTCAAGGGCAATTAACAGGTCTTGAGCTTGATCTGTGCGAAGCTCATAGGGTGAGTTGTGGAGTTTGATCTATGGAATGGGGAGGGTAGGGGTTGGTGAGGGCTCTGCAGCAGACTTGCCCTCATTGACTTACTAATTGAAAGCAACTTTTGCAGCTATTATTATTGTTGATGTATTCCACTAGCAGATTGCAGATGTAGGCAAAATATAACTAGATTTCAGCCACATGTTTGGACATGGTGCCTGAAGACTAGTTCATGCTGATTCTGGCATTTCTCCCTGTAATTTGAGGACAGGGGCCATCCTCTATTCAACTCTGTATCTCCAGTAAAGCACTAAACATAGCAGATGCTCAATTAACATATGTTGAAGTAAACCAAAGGCTTGGGTTCAAATTCCCACTCGATAACATATTAGCTAGATGCTCCCATCCACTTCTTTGGCTTCAATCCCATCTTTGATCTAGGGACTTGCAAATCTCAATCATTGACCTCGTCTCTCCAAAACTCCAGACCCGGCTGACTCCTTGCCTCTGGGACTTTCCTATCTTGATGTTTCATAAGAATGATGAGTTCATGTCCCCTTGAACTCGCCACTATCTCTCCCCAAGCCCCTGCTCTTCCTCCCGTGGACCCTCGCTTTGTTACTGGTGTCACCATCTGTCTGGGTACCCAAGCAAGAGACTAAGTGTCTCTCCCTGCTCTTTTTCATTTATTTACTCATGAAATCCTGCTGACTCTAACTCAAAAATGTTGAAAGCTCATCTCCATTTCCACAGCTGCTTTTTATTCAGACCCTCATCATACGTTATCTGAATTATCACATCAATCTCCTGGTTTCTCTGCCTCTGATCTTCCGATTTCAAAACATCTTCTATGTGATCATAACCAAAGGTGTCTATCTGAACTCAGGCACAATTATATCACTTCGTTTCTTTAAAACATCCCAAGGCTCCTCACTCATTGTCTTAAAAATCCAAATTCCTAGACAACTCAGAGGGCCTGCCACAATCTGGCTTCAACATCCCTTTCTAAACTCACCCCTCTTATCCCAAATAGGATAGTCTGCTCTAGCCACTTAAAAATCTTCCCCTTTCCCCAGATGGACCACAGCATCTCTCTTAGCATAGGATGGTACAGAATCTTCTCTCTCATCTCCTTATTGCTGCTGCTCCTTCACGTGGGGGCTGCCACTCTTATTCAAAGTCTAGCCCAGGTGTCACCTCCTTTGAGCACCCTTCTTGAGGCCTCTATAGTGCCTCAAGAAGGCACTATATTATCTCCTATAGTGCTTAGTCCCTACATCTATGGTAGCACTTATTGGGCCCTTGTGTACATGTGTGTGTGACCTCGGAGCTTAAGATGGTCCCCGGTGCATAGTGATGACCCTGTTAATGTTTTGGACAAGGGTGAAGTCCTAAATAGGGCACGATAGATTTAACTGCTGGCACCAAATCCCTCCTCTGTGAAACAACCCCAGCCTCTGAGTCCTGTCTACCATCTCAGCCCACCCCAGACCCATTCTCTAAGCAGGGATCCTCAAACTTCCCTTTGCAAGAAGATTTTCTGGATGCTTTTATCTCGGGTAGAGCATCCTTCCTGCCCTGCAAAAGACTGATTCAGTATTGATCAATTCATCATCAGTGACTTAGATTTCTTCAGAGTAGGCCCAGAGATGGGGTAATGATCCCATGGCTAAAAGATCCGTGTTTGGAGAAAGGATAGGTATGCACCTAGAAGAGAAGACCATGAGCTTATTTAAATGAGATATGGCAGGAGGACTCTTCATTCCATCTGATTAAACCTACACAAGAGTTCACATGGGGACATCTAAAGACAAACTAAAGATATTCTCTAAGTTCTCCTCAACTTTGAGGATGTAACGTAGAATCCTAAATCACAGTACTCCAGAAAGCCTCAAAAAACTGGGCTAGATTCTCCTCCCGTTCCATCCAGGCTTCGCAGCAGAAATAGGTGTTTAATTAAATTGAATAAATTAGTCCTCCTTTCACACGTCAATGAGCACATGGCTAGCACTCACATGTTTATAGACTGAACAAATGAGCATATTCTAGGGCTCAAGGAGATCATGACCTACTAGGGAGGCCGGGGAGGATGGAGGATGCTAAGACTCTGATATCCCCACTACATGGCACACTGCAGTCTAGGGTTCACCATGCAGTAGAAAGGAGAAGCAAAGGATGAAACCCATGTGGGATTCCTGAAGGCTTTATGGAAAAGCCATGTGATGAACAGTGGAATTTCTAAGGAGAAGGGATCCAGGGCCAGGAACCAGCGGATGCAAAGGCTGGAGGAGGGAAATGCAGGGTAGATCTGGATGGAGTGAAACAGCAGGAAACTGAGGCTGGGTGAGAGGTATGGTACTGAGGTGGGGATCGGAGTTCCGGCACTGGCCTTTCACATCCTCTGGGCCCCAGGTGGAGTGGGTGGGGCGAGAGCCCTTGCATTCTTCTCCAATCAACATCAGGGGTGTGGTGTCTCAGGCCCCCGCGCCGCCCACCACAGGCAGGGCCTGGGAACTGTGCGAAGACTCTCCCCACCTCCTGTCTCCGGCTGTGTCCGCCAGGCAGGGCGGGGCCCAGCCCTGGTGTTGAGTAGCGGACCCCAGGGGGATGACTAAGCCTTGGCTGAGAGCAGAAAAGAGCATGCCAAGTTATGAGACGATGATAACTTGGCCCTGAGCGTCTAGGGTCGTGGCCGTGGGCCGGCCGGGGCAAGGCGGGCGTCCCTAGGGCGGATAAAAGGGGCCGCGCTGCGCCGGGGCCGCTTTCTCCGCGCGGTGCCTGCAGCGCTCCCAGCGAGTGGCAGCTGCGGAGGGGCCATCCGGGAGGGCAGGCGGGCACCCGAGCGGCCACCGCGTCCCGGCCAGGTGGGCAGACCGATTCTCTCGGCACCCTGCGCGCGCTGACGCAGGCAGGGCGCCCGGCCTCTCCTGGGAACCCTCAGGTGCCGGAGGCAGGCGGTGCCAGTACCGACGTCGCAGGCATGGCGGGGGCGGCCTGCGAGCCGGTGGCCAGGCCGAGCCTGACCTCCATCTCGTCGGGGGAGCTGCGCAGCCTGTGGACCTGCGATTGCGAGCTGGCCCTGCTGCCTTTGGCGCAGCTGCTTCGCCTGCAGCCCGGTGCCATCCAGCTGCGCGGCGACCAGCTCGTAGTGGCCGGGCCCGGGGAGCCCGCGGCGGCGCGGGGGGGCTTCAACGTCTTCTGCGACGGCCTCGTGCGCCTCGACGGGCAGCTCTACCGCCTCAGCAGCTACATCAAGAGGTGGGTGGCCTCGCCGCGGGCCCCGGCCCGTCGCCAGGTGCCCGCAAGACGCCTCCACCTGGCGTCTCTGGGATCCTGGGCTGTCCTCGCTGCCTGCGACCCCGCCTAGCCCCCTGCTCCGTGTACTTCTAGACTTTCCCTCTGCTTCTATCATCCGGAGTCGGCACGCTATCCCCGCCCTGGTCCTTCTGCCTCTTGCACTGACATTTTGCAGCTGCTGTTTGAAGCTGCCCAGAAGGGCATCAAGGCTGGGCGCGAGGGGGAGGGCAGGGTCCCCAGCCAGAACTCATGACTGGCCGATAATTCTCCGGTTCTGGCTCCTTAACTAGGTCAGATGAGCTCAAATTGGGGGTACACCCTTTAGGAGCTGTCTGCAGCGCTGCAAGACTCACATCCTGGCTTTGGAGCATGGGCGGCTGCGGGGGGCAGGGAGCACTGCCAGCCTTCTCCATCGAGGAGACGCAGTGGAGAAGCGTGCAAAAGCTCAAAGTTTCCCATCTCTGGCCTTCCTTCGTGTTTCAAAAAATAAACAAATAAACTGCAGCTGAGAAGGGAACAAAGCCCCTGTAAGTCGTGTGGGCTGTGAAAGGCACAGATAAGTTCTGGGGAAATAAGTGTAAAACCTGCGGGCCTTAATTGGAAGGAGGCCCCCAGGATGCTTGACTGTTGTGGTCACAGTGCCCCAAGCTCTTCTTGGCAGACATGAAGCCAGCAGGATGTGGCCCAGCCATCTGAAGCAGGCTTTGATGTCATGGAGTAAAGGAGGGCACTTCAGGCCTGATGCCACGTGGCCTTAGGTCTCCAGAGGTTACTCTGGGCAAGGGCCTGGAGTGCAAAGCCCTGTTGTATTTGTGCTCAGAGGGCCGAGTGCCTGAAGAGGCAAGCATGGTCTAGAGTTTGACTCAGAAATGAATAAGCAGCCAGCTCGTGAGACACAGTGCCTTTGCTACTGGGAAAGACAGTGCGCCGTGGCACCCTGTGGGTAGGAGGGAGCCAAGAGAGGCAGGCAAACCAAATGAGATATTGAACGTGCAGCCTTCAAAGCTGCGGGGGAACAAACCTTGCTTTTCCAGACAAAGATAGGGAGGGCTCTGAATGCCTGAAGAACCATTCCCCAGCAAGAATTTCTCCCTTTCTTAGTGAAATGAAAATTCCAAACCGTAAGTGCAGGACTGTGGGAGGAGCTGAGTCAGAAATCAGATGTGCGCAGATTTAAAAAGAGGATGCCCACTGTACTTGAGAACAGGGTATGGGAAATAATAATGTCCAGAATTAATTGAAGCCATAGGTGAGGTTTTGACAGAACCAGTTCTCCTAATTGTCGCAAACAGTGCTGCAAAATCTGAAATGTCTGTCATCTAATTTTTGCTTTGAACACGTCCTACGCAAAAGAAAATTAAACAACAGTGATTCTTTGACAGCTTTGAATCTAGAATAAACACCTGGTCCACAATGACCAGGAAACACAGACCGGGGTGCAAACACAAATCAGTAAATAATAGGCTATCGTTGTATAAATAATACCGTAAGGGCTTTTGTATCTGGGAAATAGCAAGGAGCCTCTGAAGATAATTTGGGTGATTGAAGGAGCCATCTATTGTCCTCAGGCAGGGAAGGAGGCTTTTATAACTGAGTGTGCAGTCCTGAAGGATGGCCAGGAGGGAATCTTTCTAAATGGAGACAGACTTCTAGGCAGAGGGGGAGGACTAGGTTGTGGGCAGCAGTGAGAGGGTCTGCCCTGGTGAATCAGGAGGTGGGAGGCATGCTGAAGCCAGAACTCAAATATCTTACGTTTCGCTCCTCCAAGCTGTCAAATTTGCCCAGTTGATTTTGGCTTTGGGGATAGCATATGACTTCCTCCCTCAAAATACTGCTATGACCCATCCTTCCTCCCTCCCTCCCTACCTCCCTTCCTTCCTTCCATCCCTCCCTTCCTTCCTCCCTTCCTTCCTTCCTTTCTTCCTTCCTTCCTTCCTTTTGAAAAACAAGCTCTGGCCACTTTTATTAAAGAAAATTTGCATTATTTTCTTTCATCAGTCTGTTCTAGCTTACTTCTAAAGATGTCAGGGCTGGGTGCAGTAGCTCACGCCTGTAATTCCAGCACTTTGGGAGTCTGAGGCGGGCAGATTGCTTGAGTCTAGAACTTCGAGACCAGCTTGGGCAACATAACAAGACCTCTTCTGTACAAAAATACAAAAATTAGCTGGACATGATGACATGTGCCTATAGTTCCAGCTACTTGGGAGGCCAAGGTAGGAAGATGGCTTGAATCTTGGAGGTGGAGGTTGCACTGAGCCAAGATGGTGTCACTGCACTCCAGCCTAGGCAACAGAGTGAGACCCTGTCTCAAAAAAAAAAAAAAAAAAAGACTCTCAGAATTCTCTGGATCAGTGACACCGTGGTGCTCTTCCTATGGTGTTTTCCATATGCTGTGCCCAATTTAATGTTATTACTGCTGGAGTGGTAGATGGCAGTTTTGAGAGGTTGTGGCTTAGTGCTGTATTTCGGATTTCCTTGAGGCCAGGTGGTTGGTGGGGATGATCAGTTTCACTTCGCCTGTCTATCATCTTCAGAGCTGGCTTGCCCCAGCTTGTACTTTCCACCCTTCTTAATGGCTTGGAGACTAGAGTTGATGGACTCCAGGGCCTTTTCATCTTCTTTGTGGCCACCATATTCCAGCTGTGGGTGTGGGGTGGCTTCTAACCAAGAGCAGCCATGAAGATGGCCAGGAATCCCAAAAGGCAAAATGATTCTTAATCATTTTGGACCATAGAGCCTTTGAGAATTGTACATAGATACCCCAGAAATGTAGATATATCCCCAATTTTTGCTGACCATTCAGAATGTTCATGAGATACTTGGACCTAGGTTAAGAATCCTTGTTCCATTAATTAATTCTTTTTAACTCAACACATACTTTTGGCACATGGGATAAGCCCATGGTGTAATCAGAATTGCTTTCTGGGCACTCATCAGTGTGTCCTATGGCCTTCATGAGGCCCTTTTCCAAGGAACTACGAAAGGCTAAGAGCCACTGACCTTGACTTTCAGATGATTCCCTTGCTGAGACAGCACGAGGATGATTTTGGGAGCCCTACTTAGGTTTATTTTCTAATACTTGACCATTTTTTCTAAATACATACCTACTAAGTAAACTAAGGAAATCTAGCATAGTGGAAAGGTTTAGTGATGGCCACCAGCTCTAAAGCTCCTTCAAGAACCTACTGGAAAAATATTTGTCCTACTTTGTAGGATTTATGGCAAGGTCTTGATTTTTACTTTTTTCTTTCAAGATCAGGATTTTCACCCATGTTGTAAACACAACATGCTCAGGACACAGATGCATGTAATGGTCATTCAGGGAGCTATTCATTCAATGCTCAAAAGTCAGAATTACCATTAACTGTGGCACACACACACACACACACACACACACACACACACACCACCTTTTTTTTCCTATAAAGCATCCTCTTGGTGCAGAGAATGCAGGTGAGATGGAGCGGCACTCATGGGGGTAGAATAAGGACAGTTGGGCTGGAACACATTTGGAAGTTTACTGGGGAAGCCTCGCCTCCACCCTGCAGTCAGAAGTGCTGGGTTCTGTCTGCCTGCCCAGGCCCAGAAAGGAGCCCAACTTGAGGCTGGAGGTTGGAAGGTGTGGTCTTTGATGCGGCAACCTGCTTAGGCAGCAGCCCCTTAGCAGGATACATAGTGATGTCGGTGGAATAATAACCATCCACGCATTGAGCCCTGAGATTCTTAGGAGTCAGTCTAGAGGAAGGGCTTTGCTCTTTACCAGCTGAATGACCTTGGGAAATTCACTTACTGTCCATGGGACTCTGTTTCCTCAACTGTAAAGTGGGAATAATAATAATAATACTATTAAGCAGCCCCAGACCCAAGAGCTTTACACACATTATTTAATCCCTTAGCCACCTCACGGGGTACCTTTTGTTAGCTAGATTGTACAGTCGAGGAAAATGAATATCTGCAAGGTTAAAATACTAGCTGAGATCCCAGAGACAGAAATCACACTCAGATCCGATGATTGCATAGCGATGTGCCGCCAGCCTTCTTTCCTGCCTGACTTCTTCAGAGCTAGGCTCCAGACTTGCAGCCACACTTGTCTCCTTCCTATCCTCAGCTCCCCTGGTCCTTGCCACCTGCCTGCCTGCCTGACTGCATGCAGCCACCCCATAGTCCCCATGGATGGTCTAGGCTGTGATCCTTCCTGGGGTGTCCCTGCCCCTGCTCTTACCTAACTCTTGTGGGCTATTTCGTTTGACAGGACAATCTCTCTCCTACTACCCATCTCATCTCAATACGTGGCTCTAACCCCAGGCCCCTCCTGACTTGCTCCCTTAGGCTTAACAGGCTAGGAGAGAACTCAGTGGAGTCTGGACACGTGAATATTGAGAACTGTGCATTTCTCTGGCATTGGTATATTTGAATGATTTGCCAGTTTGCAAACTTATGAATAGCAGGGACCGCGTGTTAGACCAGTGCTTCTCAAACTTTAAGTAAGTATGCAAGTCTCCTGGAGACCTTGTTAAAACACAGATGCTGATTGATTCTGGGGAGAGCCCTGGATTCTGCATCATGCCAGGTGATTCCAGTGCTGTTAGTCCAAGGATCACGTTTTGAGCAAGGATATACATTCATCATTTCATACCAAAACAGTGTCTTTTCTCAATTGTCACCCCAGGAGACCATATGCATCTTAGAAGCGAGACTGTTTCCTTTCTCATCTCTGCGTTCCCAGTGCCCAGCACACAGTAGGTGCTCAGTAAACATTTCTTACATGCATAAATGAATGAATCATTCTCTGCCCCATCAGAGTTTCACACACACTAAGTGTCACAGACATTAGAGCGATAAGTCTAAAAATTTTGCTTTGTTTCACTAGAATTAGGGCAGAAGGCGGAGGGAAGAAAGGAAGAGAGAATAGGGCGAGGCTCTGTGTATGGCGATCAAGCTAACACTAGAAACTCATGGCGGGGGCATCCTGCTTCCCCTGACAGCAAAATGGCTCTGCAAGCTTTTGCTTAGTGTCACAGCAAAGAATTATGAAAGTGGCAAGCAGTTCCTGGGCCTCCTACACAGACTATGGCAGTGTGTGTTCCTCTTTTTCTCTGCTCCACTGTCCATAGTTTTTTTTTAATGAATACACACACACACACACACACACACACACTCCACCCTTTGATGGAGGCCATGGAGATTATCTGTCATTGAGCAGAAATTGTTAGAGCCAAGGGAAATTTGGGGCAGCTTTGAAAGGCGGGTGTCTTAGAGGTGGGCCATCTTTCAATGACTCCTGATTTTCTAGAAGCAAAACACAATGCTCTTTTTCTGGTCCCCCTTCAGATGTTGCTGTCATTAAGCTGTTCCCTTTAGCCTCCAAAACTGAAAAAACGAGGAAAGAAATTGGAACAAGGAAGGAGCAACTCTTGCTCATTTATCAGATACTGATATCGTCCTCATTTTCTGGGAACTCAAACGAACACAGCCCTGGTCGTAAGTCAGAAGTTCACAAAACTTCATCCTGTGGCTTTGCCAAGTTGGCGAGGATTAGAGACATCCGTGAGGTTTATCAAGCATCCCCCCATGGCTTCAAATTCATACGTCTACATTGCACGTACTGCATTTACTCATCATGTGGGAAGAAAATACTCTACGCTCTTTTCACAGATGAGTGAACAGGTGCAGACAGGTCTGAAGACATCCCTGAAGGTCACAGTGAGTTGTGGCTCTGGAACTGAGTTCACATAGCCAGCAAATTAGGACATGAATTAGATCTTATTTTAAAATACTGTGCTTCCCATTACATTGTCCTGCTGCGTTTGTTTGTTTGGTTACATGCATTGGGTTTGAGATAGGGTGTCACTCTGCTACCCAGGCTGGACTGCAGTGGTGCAGTCATAGCTCACTGCAGCCTGGAATTTCTGGCCTCCAGCAATCCTCCCGCCTCAGCCTCCTGACTTGCTAGGAGTATAGACATGCACCCACCACAACAGGCTAATTTTAAACATTTTTTTGCAAAGGCAAGATTTGCTTAGGCTGGTCTGGAACTATGTTGCCCAGGCTGGTCTGGAACCCCTTGCCTCAAGCAATCCTCCTGTCTTGACCTCCCAAAATGCTGGGATAGTAGGCATGAGCCACCATGCTCAGCCTTGACCTGCCTTTTAATCTTTGGATTGAAGCCAGGAGTAGAAACTTTCACTCCAAAAACATTTTGGGGCCAGGGTAAAGCAATGAAGAAAAGAGAGTTTAAAGGAATTGTCTATCTTAAAGTGTTTGCTTTTCGTTCCTAATGATCATTTCCGCAACTATGTTAAATATTCAATATGTAGAAGCAATATTTACATTAGTAATTCTGAAATATCTATGATTAAAGGCCAGGCGTGATGGCTGATGCCTGTAATCCCAGCATTTTAGGAGGCTGAGGCAGACAGATCATCTGAGGTCAGGAATTCGAGACCAGCCTGGTCAATGTGGTGAAATCCTGTCTCTACTAAAAATACAAAAATTAGCTGGGCATGGTGGTGCACACCTGTAATCCCAGCTACTTGGGTGGCTGAGGCAGGAGAATTGCTTGAACCAGGGAGACAGAGGTTACTTTGAGGCACAATTGTGTCACTGCACTCCAGCCTGGATGACAGAGTGAGACTCTCAAAAAACAAACAAACAAACAAGGTCAAATAACTAGTCCCTAATGTAATCTAGTGAGGCTAGTCTTAAACTAAAACCAGTGATTAAATGTCAGAAACTTAAATATTTATCTGTGCACCTTAACAACTAAATTCTATAGTCTTATTATATTTTAGTGAAAGCCCATATTTATTTATTTCAATAGAATTTCAAGGTGTTTAACAATTGGACCATAACTGAGAGGCTGGAAATGGATGAACTACTGAGGTATTTCTTCTTTGTTACCTGGTTGAGATAGGAAGCTTATTAAGTAGGGATCTTGCCACAATCTCTTGTCTGTAAGTTCTGGCATGAAAGCTCTTCTATAAGCAGTGTTTACACATCTGTGGTACAGTGATAACTGGCATGCACTGTGATGAGGTTTACAGCCACTTGAGGTACTAAAGTGCCTCCTGAATCATCAAAGGCAGGTTAAATTACGTTGCATGTAGTTTTATTTTCCAAGGTGTATTATGAAATTCAGGCTTGAAAATGGATAGTTCATGTGTAGATCGTACATTTCACTCAACGTGTGGCTATCCAGCAGGCGTCCTTCTGTGCTCATGCTTAAAATCTGCTCTTTGAGCCCAGTAGCATTCAAAAAGCCTTCCACCAAATTCCAGGGAAAACTGAGTATTCTCTGAAGCAGAGATCATTTGTAAGTTGAGACTTCATCTGTGGCATTACTGACCCATCGGATGTCAATCAATTTTGAACGCAGAGAGAAATACTGAACTGGCATTTGTGTCATCAGAAAAGGCATTGAAACTGCAGATTTTCTGGGCGCATTGTACACGGATGCCATGCACTTTCCACAAAGAATGACAATCAGACTCCAGATAATGAGAGAATAGAGGAATCACCCTGAGGAATACAGTAAAGGAGCCAAAATGACCATGACTGAATTCCATGTAAACAGGGTGGTGGAAGAACAGGTCACAGGTGAAGCCTGCCGCTACCCCTGCATCACCCATCTATTTTTTTAAGTTTATGCCAACCAGACTTGCCCTTTTCTTCCTCTTTTGCTACAGGGGGTTTCTTTCTCTTTTCTCCCTCTGTATCCTAAACCCCCCATGTAACCACAGACTTTACCTTCTCTTCACCCCCTTCCCAAGCCACTCTTGCCTGCCTGCCCTGTGCTGGGTGGTTGGCAGCTGAATAAATAGATGGATGGCAAGAGGAATGGGTGAGCACAGGGGCACTCTGCACTGCCTCCTTCCACTGCCCCCTTTCTGGGCTCCGAGCCCCTCCAGCATAATAAGGCAATGAGACACTAAATACTCACCTGGTGCCTGGCTCATCAGCGGGACTCAATGAAGTTGCTGAGTGAATGAATGGATGTGCCCAGCGAATGGTGGTTTTCTTTTCTCTGCCTTCTCCTTTGCTTTCTTTCTCTAGTAACTTTTGGCAGTTAATCAACTGGGACAAAGAAGGGCAGGAAAATTCTCTCCCAGCTGATATGTAACACCAGTGCCACTCTCCTGAGGCTCCCCCATCTCACCCCTTTTCTCCTGATCTGCCCAGGTGAGGGTGAGCACAGCGGAGAGGTGAAGGGAGAGTCATACAAAAGCCCCATCGGGGTCTGCATTCTCTTACCTGGCCATCCATTTCCTTGTAACACCCCAGCACCCCACCTCAGCGACCCTCCTCCATTCCCATCGTCCTCTCCTCTCCACCTGCCATCCTCACCCACTCCTTGAGCATCAACACCCACACCTGCCTTTTTCTTCTCTGGAACACTGCAGCTCCATGTTCCCCTCCCCACCCCAGGAACAGCCCCCAAGCAGCCACCACTACAGATGTAGTGGGAGGTGGAGACTGCTTTAAAAGCCTGGTGAAATAGAAGGCAGGAAGCATTTTAGAGGCTCCATCAGGGGTCAGGTTTTAAAAGCTCTCAAAATCAGGTCTGACAATCCCAGCAGAAAGATAATGACATAGATTTCTAAGAAACCAAGCTGGGAGACAGCGAAGCGGAAGCCGTGTTTTCCTGCCTCGGGGTAGATATTCTCTCGCCTGCTCTTGACACATGCCCCAGTCACTGTCTTGTGTGCTGGCCCCTCCAAGGGGTGGTGGGAAGTGGGCGCAGGGGAGGGATGCCGAGATGACTGTGGCCACAGCTCCCTGCAGTGGCTGTTTTCTCACCAACGCTGTGATTTTCATGTCAGGCACTGGAAGGACAACCAGCCGGAAAGAATTGCTTGGAGCTGTCTCTGCTGATGACTAGATGTAAGAAACAAACATGCTGTGGTGTAGCAAAAGGCAGCCCGCGCGCTCCGCTCAGCCAGCCTTTCACTCCGTGCAGATGCTCACAGCTGTGTCAACGGGGAACCAGCTCTGTGATTAGAGAGACTGCGGCAGACGCATCCTTCAGCCCACTGGGGGCCATTCGCCTGCCTACATCCACATGGCATCTGAGCTTGGGTTTACTTAGAAAATTAGCCAACTTCTTGAAGGAAGCTAATCTGCACTTGGACCTTTTTATCAATAATGCGGATAGGGACACAGCTAGGCTGCTTGGAAGAGCAGAAGGGCAGGGAGAGAAAGCTAACATGCTGGATGACAGAGTCAGGATTCAGAAAGATCTTCCTAAATGAGAACAATGAATGAAAACAAAAAAGACTAAATTTAACAAGCATGTGGCGAAAAGTTCAACATCAGTTGTTTTGACGTTTTAATTACACAAGCTCAGCATAGGGGAGATGTGAATTAGTAATGTTTCATATGAATATTGGTTGATTCTGTAATCTATAGAGGGAGTTGGGTTTATCTTGGGATTAGTGGGGAAAGTGGAGAGAAGGAAAGGAAAATTCCAGACCCACCAGTTAGACAGGATGACTCCACTGGAGAAGATCCAACTAATTCCACTTATTAAGTCGAATTCATGCTCAATTCAGAGGGACTTAGAGTTCTTACAGCTTAAAATCAACTGTTTTCGCCCAAATGATAGATGATACTGATGATCACTGGTTAAGTCTGAGAGCCAAGCATTGATGCCAGGACACCCCAAGGACCATGGCTGCCTGTGGGCTGTATGCTGATCCTCCCTCCAATCAGCCATGACCAGAGAAAGATTTATTTATACGGTGACCTCTGTAAGGAAACATTTCAAGGAACTTCCCTCCAAGATCTGTGGCTGTGCTGAGTACCTGTCCAGTACATCCCCTTCCTAATTTAGATGAAAGGGTGTGTTACATTTGCAGTGATCTCTGCTTTTTCACAGGTATGTGGAACTGACCAACTACTGTGATTATAAAGACTACAGGGAAACCGTATTGAGCAAACCAATGTTGTTCTTTATTAATGTACAGACCAAAAAAGACACCTCAAAAGGTAAGTCTCTATATTAGCCTGTTCTCACGCTGCTATAAAGAAATACCTAAAACTGGGTAGTTTATAAAGAAAAGAGGTTTAATTGGCTCGCAGTTCTGCAGGCTGTACAGGCTTCTGCTTCTGGTGAGGCCTCCGAAAACTTACAATCATGGTGGAAGGTGAAGGGAGAGCAGGCATGTCTTACATGGAGCAGGAGGAAGAAGGCAGAAGGGGAGGTGCTACACGCTTTTAAACAACCAGATCTATTAAGAACTCACCCACTATCATGAGAACAGCAAGGAGAAAATCCACCCCCATGATCCAGTCACCTCTGACCAGGCCCCTCCTCCAACATCGGGAATTACAATTCGACATGAGATTTGGGCAGGGACACAAATCCAAACAATATCAGTATCTAAATATTTTTGGCTTAGTCCTTGCTGGGACCAAACTGGGCTAGACTGTGGACTGAGGTATGCTGATGAGCAGGGCAGAAATTAGCTTGTGATAAGATGGACAGCAAGGAGCCTGGTGTATGTGGTCACCTGAAGCACAGCACAAGCCTGCTGAACAAACTTCTCAATGATTGTAGGGCAGAAGCCACCTGTCTCAGAGCTTCTTTGCTACTTCCTGTCTAGGCAGGAAGTGCTCTGACATTCTGAGACTTGGGAGGTTGCAGAAATGACTGGAGCGATAAGGATGATATATAACATGCTCTACCACGTATCAAACACTTACTATGTCTAAGAAGTGCTCTGATGTAATGGATCAGCACAACAACTTTGTAGGGCTTATCAACTGAGGACGTTATTAACAGGAACATCATTGCTATCAATAATTATTCTTGGATGAAGGTATAAACTGACCTGGACAAACTAGGATGCGTAATTATCCCAGCTAGGAGGTGCTTACACTATCCCCATTTTATAGATGAGGAAACTGAGAAAATAAATAGCATTGTGGATGCTTTTCTGTTTCATGCTATGATGTTGGAATGTCATGTTTAGACACATCTCTTTATTGTTTCTTCCAAGAAATCAGATTAGCTGGTAACAACTATATTTAACCAAATTTCAATAGGAAAATGTCTCCATTTTGCCTTCTTCCTCCTGCTCAGAATGATATGTGGGGGAAATCTTGGGCACAATGCTCTGTAATAGAGTAGAATTTCTTAAACTTGCTTCTAACTAACATTCTTAAAATGAGTCTAAGGGAATAAGAAATGATCTATGAATTTCAAATAGACTTCCCCAAACATTCATTCTCATTCAGACTTGTGCAGCACTCTTTGCTCATTTTACAATAAAAAGTCACAATGCTCTTTCTGCTGGAAAGGTCAGGAACAGAATGCCCAGTAACAAGAAATGCTCATCAGAACATCTGAAGCCCACATGTTCTTTGGCTTGATTATAACCAGAAAGCCAGCTAGTTCTTTAGGAATGTAATTCACAGCTGTATCAAGTATACCTCCTGCATCAATCACTAGGAGGAATCTAAAAAAAGAGTAAGGGACCTCTTCATTTTAACAGTTTAATCAAAGTATAGGTAGCGGTACAACAAGGAATTCTTAGGTAGCCTACAGAATGTATGAGGTTGTTGAACAACTATTATGGCAGGAGGCCTGTGTCTGAGGCATGCTATAGTGTAATGAGTCAGCACAACAGAAATCCAGATACCCAGTACTGATTAACTGTGATAAAAGCCACAATGACACAGAAGCTTAAGACGGTCAATTTTAAATTGCAAAATTGTGATTAAGGCTATCTGTCCAGTCTTGCTGCTATTCTAAACTGCACTTTTGTGCAAATCAGAAAAAGCCACTATTTCCTCAGTGGCAGGGAGAAGAATCAACCTCCAGCTGCCTTGATCCTTAGAACCATAGACTAGTCATTTGTCAGAAGGATGTCTGGTCTCTAGAGAGGCTGGGGAGAGCTAGTCATGCGGTGGAGGTGGGGCTGGACATGGAAAGCATGGAGCAGCCCCATTTCCTGAACTTTGCAGATTTTCTTTTGCAAAGAAGAAAGATTCTGTAAGAGCCAACTTGTGATTTGAATACCCAACAAGTCATGGTGACTGATGCTTATAATCCCAGCACTTTAGGAGGCTATGGATGGCAGGTTGCTTGAGCTCAGGAGTTCGAGACAAGCCCAGGCAATGTGATGAAACCCTGTCTCTGCAAAATATACACAAATTAGCCAGGTGTGGTGGCAAATGCCTGTGGTCCCAGCAACTCAGAAGGCTGAGGTAGGAGGATCACTTGAGTCCAGGAGGTTGAGACTGCAGTGAGCCGTGATTGTGCCACTGTACTCCAGCCTGGGTGACAGAGACTCTGGAAGAAGAAAAAGAAAGAAGAAAGAAGGAAGAAGGAAGAAAGAGAAGAAGAAATCATCTAGCACAGCAGTAACATGAAAACTGGCTATCTCCATCTTTCACTTTCCTTCCCCACACTGGATACATGCTGTGGAGGCACAGTTCTCATCTGTGATAATTATAGAGTGGAACTTTTGATTTCTGAGACTCCAGTGACAATCCACAGCCTTGCAGGAGCTGATTGTCTAGCTTGCCTTTACAGCGGCCCAGAACCTCCTTCAAATCTGCAAAATTCTCAGAAACACTTCTGGAAATCTAGTGAGGCTTTGTAGTAAGGATGTGAGGGAGCAGAGAGGAAAGTTATAAATGAATAAAATCTCCAAAGGAGGTGGGAAGCACTGCTGCAGCAATTTTAAGAAGCATAGTATGTCACATGGACACGCTTGGTTCTGAATTCTGCTTGCTAATTTCTAGAAAGGACATACGCGTTTCTTGTGAACACAAGGCACCCCAAGATAAGAAGACAGATAGAGCAAGGGATGGACATGGTCATCTCCTCAGTGATTGGAGAAAGTTACCGGCTTCAGGTAAGCCTAGCCTGTCTGAATCCAGGGCTGGCAACCAAACCACATGGAAGGAGCTTGTGCATTTCATGCAAGAACTGAGGCCCTATGGCCCTGGCTTAGGCCAAGAGAATGGCCCTTAGAGAACAAAGTGCATCCAGATACTTTGTTCTCTAAGGTGCCATTATTGCTACCAATAAAATGAGTTTAGTTCTCAGAAACCTATTAGAAATGTGGTAACAGGCTGGGCATGGTGGCTCACACCTGTAATCCAAGCACTTTGGGAGGCCAAGGAGGGTGGATCACGAGGTCAAGAGTTTAAGATCCAAGATGGTGAAACCCCATCTCAACTAAAAATACAAAAATTAGTTGGGTGTGGTGTTGCGCGCCTGCAATCCCAGCTGCTCAGGAGGCTGAGGCAGAGAATTGCTTGAATCTCAGAGGCAGAGGTTGCAGTGAGCCAAGATTTGGCCACTGCACTCCAGACTGGGCAACAGAACGAGATTTAGTCAGTCTGAAAAAAGAAAAAAAGAAAGAAAGAAAAAGAAGGAAATAGGGTAAGCATAAATGTAGTTTTGGCCAACCAGTTCCGAATATTTAGATGGAATACGATGCAAATGCAAAGCTTTGTTAGAAAAAATAAAGACAGCAGTTAAAAAATATCTGTGAGTGTGAAAGGGAAATAAGAGGTGTGATGTTTCAGATATTTGGGCAGTTGTTAGTTCTAGAATGTCAACAGGAGAGTTATGTGCAATAGATCAATGCAATGTTCCTCTCTCTTTCAGTTTGATTTTCAAGAGGCAGTGAAGAATTTCTTCCCCCCAGGAAATGAAGTGCTCAATGGGGAAAATTTAAGCTTTGCATATGAATTCAAAGCCGACGCACTATTTGACTTCTTCTATTGGTTTGGGCTCAGTAATTCCATTGTAAAAGTCAATGGAAAAGTTCTGAATTTGTCAAGTACAAGTCCAGAAAAGAAGGAGACAATTAAGTTATTTCTGGAAAAAATGAGTGAGCCTTTAATCCGCAGGAGCAGTTTCTCTGACCGCAAATTCAGCGTGACTTCCAGAGGTATGTTAAAAATTCCCAAGGACATGTGGAAGGTAGTCAAATAAAAGGATAGAATAAAATAATGGAAGAGAGCCAACTGACCAAAAAGGCAAGACCTGTTAATAAGAGGAAAATATATCACAAAATTCAGCAAGTAAGAAGTGGGACATGTTTGTTACCAAAAACAAATGTAGTGACTTTTCCTTTTGGGCCCCTTTAAGTTTTCTGACATCAGGATTATATTGTGTAGTCTACCCCAAAATAACTTTAAAGGTTATTATTAATTTAAATGAATATTAATGATCATTTAAGTATTATTGGCAATCATTCAAATATTAGGAAAAAAATGCTGCCTTCCAAATGTTCACATTCTGTACAATAGAATGTAAACAAAAATGATGATTTGGGAGGAGTCTGTATGGTCAAGATAGCAATCTTTAACAGCATTTGGAAGGCTTCTCCCGATTTGGACAGAGCACAAAAGAATACCTCTTGAGAAGTTTTCATTTAACGCACTCTTGATGGCATATGGCAAGTTCTTGGTATTGACACCCGTGTGGCTGCAGGTGGCATGAATCACGGCTTCTCTGGTTGTGTCTTCTGCAGAGCCCATTCTCTCTGTCTTTTGCTAGTCTGTACTGGAACTTCCTTGAGTCAGGACTCGTGCTACTGATTGCAGAAAACCAGCAGCCTCTATGAAGTTGTGGTGTTCTCAGAGTTCAGATGTAAAATACAGAGTCTTCATTAATTGCATTTACTGCCTGTGGTTTTTGTTTTGTTTTGTTTTCTGAGATGGAGTCTCGCTCTGTCACCCAGTCTGGAATGCAGTGGCACCATCTCGGCTCATTGCAACTTCCTCCTCCCTGGCAGAAGCAATTCTGGTGTCTCAGCCTCCCAAGTAGCTGGGTCTACAGGTGTGTGCCACCACACCCAGCTAATTTTTGTATTTTTATCACATATATATATATATTTTTTTAATTGTACTTTAGGTTCTGGGGTACATGTACAGATCATGCAGGATTGTTGCACAGGTACACACATGGCAATGTGGTTTGCTGCCTCTGTCCCCGCATCACCTACATCTGGCATTACTCCCCATGTTATCCCTCCCTGACCTCCCCACCACCCCTCCAGCTGTCCCTCCCTTGGCCCCCACAACAGACCCCAGTGTGTGATGCTCCCCTCCCTGTGTTCATGTGTTCTCATTGTTCAACACCCACCTATGAGTGAGAACATGTAATGTTTAATTTTCTGTTCTTGTGTCAGTTTGCTGAGAATGATGGTTTCCAGATTCATCCACGTCCCTACAAAGGACATAAACTCATCATTTTTTATGGCTGCATAGTATTCCATGGTGTATATGTGCCACATTTTCCTTGTCCAGTCTGTTGTCGATGGGCATTTGGGTTGGTTCCAGGTCTTTGCTATTGTAAACAGTGCCGCTATTAATATACATGTACATGTGTCTTTATAATAGAATGATTTATAATCATTTGGATATATACCCAGTAATGGGATTGCTAGCTCAAATGGAATTTCTATTTCTAGGTCCTTGAGGAAGTGCCACACTGTCTTCCACAATGGTTGAACTAGTTTACACTCCCATCAACAGTGTAAAACTGTTCCTATTTCTCCACATCCTCTCCAGCATCTGTTGTCTCCAGATTTTTTAATGATTGCCATTCTAACTGGCATAAGGTGGTATCTAAATGTGGTTTTGATTTGCATTTCTCTAATAATCAGGGATGATGAGCATTTTTTCATATGTTTGTTGGCCTCATATATGTCTTCATTTGAAAAGTGTCTGTTCATATCCTTCACCCATTTTTGGATAGGTTTGTTTGTTTTTTCTTGTAAATCTGTTTTAGTGCTTTGTAGATTCTGGATATTAGCCTTTTGCCAGATGGGTAGATTGCAAAAATTTTTTCCCATTCTGTTGGTTGCCAGTTCAGTCTAATGATTGTTTCTTTTGCTGTACAGAAGCTCTGGAGTTTGATTAGGTCCCATTTGTCTACTTTGGCTTTTGTCACCAATGCTTTTGGTGTTTTAGTCATGAAGTCCCTGCCTATGCCTATGTCCTGAATGGTTTTGCCTAGGTTTTTTTTCAAGGGGTTTTATGGTGTTAGGTCTTATGTTTAAGGCTTTAATCCACCTGGAGTTAATTTTAGTGTAAGGTGTCAGGAAGGGGTCCAGTTTCTGCTTTCTGCACATGGCTAGCCAGTTTTCCCAACACCATTTATTAAGCAGGGAATCCTTTCCTCATTGCTTGTTTTTGTCAGGTTTGTCAAAGATCAGATGGTTGTAGATGTGTGGCATTGCCTCCAAGGCCTCTGTTCTGTTCCATTGGTCTATGTCTTTGTTTTGGTACCAGTACCATGCTGTTTTGGTTACTGTAGCCTTGTAGTATAGTTTGAAATCAGGTAACATGATGCCTCTGACTTTGTTCTTTTTGCTTAGGTCTTGGCTATGTGGGCTCTTTTTTGGTTCCATATGAATTTAAGGTAGTTTTTTTCCAGTTCTGTGAAGAAGGTCATTGATAGCTTGATGGGGGTAGCATTGAATCTATAAATTACTTTGGGCAGTATGACCATTTTCATGATATTAATTCTTCCTAACCATGGACATGGAATGTTTCTCAATCTGTTTGTGTCCTCTCTTATTTCCTTGAGCAGTGGTTTGTAGTTCTCCTTGAAGAGGTCCTTTGCGTCCTTTGTTAGTTGTATTCCTAGGTATTTTATTCTCTTTGTGGCAATTGTGAATGGGAGTTTGCTCATGATTTGGCTCTCTGTTAGTCTGTTATTGGTGTATAGAAATGCTTGTGATTTCTGCACATTGATTTTGTATCCTGAGACTTTGCTGAAGTTGCTTATCAGTTTAAGGAGATTTTGTACTGAGATGATAGGGTCTTCTAAATATACAACCATGTTGTCTGCAAATAGAGACAATTTGACTTCTTCTTTTCCTAATTGAATACACTTTATTTATTTTTTTTTCTTGCCTAATTGCTCTAGCTAGAACTTCCAATACAGTACTGAATAGGAGTGGTGACAGAGGGCATCCTTGCCTAGTGCCGGATTTCAAAGGGAATGCTTCCAGTTTTTGCTCATTCAATATGATATTGGATGTAGGTTTGTCGTAAATAGCTTTTATTATTTTTAGAGATGTTCCTTTCATACTTACTTTATTGAGAGTTTTTAGCATAAAAGGCTGTTGACTTTTGTCAAAGGCTTTCTCTGCATCTATTGAGATAATCATGTGGTTTTTGTCTTTGGTTCTGTTTATGTGGTGGATTATGTTTATAGACGTGTGTATGTCGAACCAGCCTTGCATCACTGGAATGTAGCCTACTTGATTGTGATGGATAAGCTTTTCAAGGTGCCGTTGCAATCGGTTTGCCAGTATTTTATTGAAGATTTTTGCATCTATGTTCATCTTGGATATTGGTCTGAAGTTTTCTTTTTTTGTTGAGTCTCTGCTGGGTTTTGGTATCAGGAGGATTTTGGTCTCATGAAGTGATTTGGGAAGGATTCCCTCTTTTTGTATTGTTTGGAATAGTTTCAGAAGGAATGATAACAGCTCCTCTTTGTACATCTGGTAGAATTCAGCTGTGAATCTATCTGGACCTGGACTTTTTTTGGTTGGTAGGCTATTAATTGCTGCCTCAACTTCAGCCTTTGTTATAGATCTGTTCAAGGTTTCAACTTTTTCCTGGTTTAGACTTGGGAGGGTGCAAGTGTCCAGAAATTTGTCCATTTCTTCCAGGTTCACTGGTTTACGTGCATAGAGTTGTTTGTAGTAATCTCTGATTGTGATTTGTATTTCTGTGGAGTCAGTGGTGATATCCCCTTTATCATTTTTTATTGCATCTATTTGATTCTTATCCCACTGCTTTTTTATTAATCTGGCTAATGGTCTGTCTATTTTGTTGATCTTTTCAAAAAACCAGCTCTTGGATTTATTGATTTTTTTGAAGGGTTTTTTTTGTCTCTATTTCCTTTAGTTCTGCTCTGATCTTAGTTATTTTTTGTCTTCTGCTAGCTTTCGAGTTTTTTTGATCTTGCTTCTCTAGCTCTTTCAATTTTGAGGATAGGGTGTCAACTTTAGATCTTTTTTCGCTTCTTTGGTGGGTATTTATTGCTATAAATTTCCTCTAGACACTGATTTAAATGTGTCCCAGAGATTCTGGTATGTTGTGTCTTCGTTCTTGTTGGTTTCAAAGAACATCTTTATTTCTGCCTTCATTTCATTATTTATCCAGTTGACATTCAGGAACCAGTTGTTCAGTTTCCATGAAGTTGTGTGGTTCTAAGTTAGTTTCTGAATTCTGAGTTCTAATTTGATTGCACTGTGGTCTGAGAGACTGTTATGATTTTAGTTCTTTTGCATTTGCTGAAGAGTGATTTACTTCCAATCATGTAGTCAGTTTTAGAGTAGGTGTCATGAGGTGCTGAGAAGAATGCATATTCTGTGGATTTAGTGTGGAGATTTCTGTAGATGTCTATTAGTTCTGCTTGGTCCAGATCTGAGTTCAAGTCCTGGATATCCTTGTTAATTTTCTGTCTTGTTGATCTGTCTGATATTGACAGTGGAGTGTTAACATCTCCCACTATTATTGTGTGGGAGTCTAAGTCTCTTTGTAGGTCGTTAAGAACTTGCTTTATGTACCTGGGGGCTCCTGTATTATATGCATATATATTTAGGATCATTAGTTTTTCTTAATGCATTAATTTTTTTTACCATTATGTAATGCCCTTCTTTGTCTCTTTTGATCTTTGTTGGTTTAAAGTCCATTTTATCAGAGACTAGGATTGCAAGTCCTGCCTTTTTCTTTTTGTTCTCCATTTGCTTGATAAATCTTCCTCCATCCCTTTATTTTCAGCCTATGTGTGTCCTTGCATGTGAGATAGGTTTCCTGAATACAGCACACCAATGGGTTTTGACTTTTTATCCAATTTGCCAGTCTGTGTCTTTTGATTGGGGCATTTAGTCCATTTATATTTAAGGTTAATATTGTTATATGTGAATTTGATCCTGCCACTTTGATGCTAGCTGGATGTTTTACCCATTAGTTGACACATTTTGTTCATTGTGTCAATGGTTTTTACCATTTGGCACGTTTTTGGAGTGGCTGGTACTGGTTGTTCCTTTCCTTGTTTAGTGCTTCTTTCAGGAGCTCTTGTAAGGCAGGCCTGGTGGTGACAAAATCTCTCAGCAATTGCTTGTCCATAAAGGATTTTCTTTCTCCTTAGCTCACGAAGTTTAGTTTGGCTGGATATGAAATTCTAGGTTGAAAGTTCTTTTCTTTAAGGATGTTGAATATTGGCCTCATTCTCTTCTGGCCTGTAGGGTTTCTGCAGAGAGATCCACTGTGAGTCTGATGGGCTTCCCTTTGTGGGTAACCTGACCTTTCTCTCTGACTGCCCTTAATATTTTTTCCTTCATTTCAACCCTGGTGAATCTGATGATTATGTGCCTTATGGTTGCTCTTCTTGAGGAATATCTTTGTGGTGTTCTCTGTATTTCCTGGACTTGAATGTTGGCCTGCCTTGCTATATTGGGGAAGTTCTCCTGGATAATATCCAAGAGAGTGTTTTTCCCCTTGGATTCATGCTCTTTGTCACATTCAGGTACACCTATGAAACGTAGATTATGTCTTTTCACATAATCCCATATTTCTTGGAGGTTTCATTCTTTTCATTTTTATCTCTATTCTTGCCTTCTCATTTTATTTCATTGAGTTGATCTTCAATCTCTGTTATCCTTTCTTCTACTTGGTCGATTCAGCTATTGAAACTTCTGTATGCTTCGTGAAGTTCTCATGCTGTGTTTTTCAGTTCCATCGAGTCGTTTATATTCTTCTCTAAGCTGTTTATTCCAGTTAGCATCTCATCTAACCTTTTTTCTAGGTTCTTAGTTTCTTTGCATTGGGTTAGCACATGTTCTTTTAGCTCTGAGAAGTTTGTTATTAACAACCTTCTGAAGCCTGTTTCTGTCAATTCATCAGATTCATTCTCATCCGTCTTTGATCCCTAGTTGGTGAGGAGTTGTAATCCCTTGGAGGAGGAGAGGCATTCTGGTTTTTGGTGTTTTCATCCTTTCTGTGCTGGTTTCTTCCCATCTTAATGGCTTTATCTACCTGTGGCCTTTGTAGTTGGTAACTTTCAGATGGGGGTCTCTGAGTGAACATCGTCGTTTTCGTTGCTGTTGAAGCTATTTCCTTCTGCTTCTTAGTTTTCTTCTAACAGTCAGGCCCTTCTACTGCAGGACCACTGGAGGTCTACTCCAGACCCTGCTCACCTGGGGATCACCCGCAGGGGCTGCAGAACAGCAAGAGTTGCTGCCAGTTTCTTCCTCTCCTATCCTCGTCCCAGAAGGGTACGTGCCAGATGTTGGCCTGAGCGCTCCCTTATGAGGTGTCTCTTTGGGTATACAGGGGTCAGGGAGTTGCTTGAGGAGAGAGTCTGTCCCTTATAGGAGCTCAAGTGCTGTGCTGGGAGATCCACTGTTCTGTGCAGAGCTGCTGGGCAGGTACCTTCAAGTCTGCTGCAGCTGAACTCACAACCACCTCTTTTCCCAGGTGCTCTGTCCTAGGAAGGTTGGCTTTGTTTATAAGTTCGTGTCGTGCTGCTGCCTTTTTTCACAGATGCCCTGCCCTGCACTGAGTAGTCTAGTCACAGTCTGCCAGCAGAGGCGTTGCTGAGCTGCCGCAAGTTCTGCCCAGCTGTTGTGTGAACTGCCTCAAGAGTCAGGGACGCCCTTCCCCCCACTGAGCTGGACAGTCCTGGGTCCAGCTGCACTTGCTGCGAAACTCTCAGTCCAGAGCGTTTCAGATTGCTTGTTTTGTGGGGGTGGTACCTGCTGAGCTAGATTGCCTGGCTCCCTGTTTCTGCCCCATCTTTCAGTTGAATGGGCAGCTCTGTCTCCCAGGCATTCTAGGCACCAGTCGAAAAGGCCACCCAGACTTGTGTAAGTTTCTGTGAGCCGACATGGCACCGGCTGAAACCTTGGCTCTGAAAACTCATGGCACTTTTCAGCCCAGGAATCTCCTGGTCTGTGGGCAGTGAAAATTGTTTGGAAATGCAGTGAGCACTCACCCTCTGCACTGTTCTTGCTGGGAACTGCACTCTGGAGGTGTATTATTTGGCCATCTTGCATCTCCCCTTGCCCCAGTTTTTGAATTTTTTTTTTTTTTTTTTTTTTTTGAGACAGAGTTTCACTATTGTTACCCAGGCTGGAGTGCAATGGCGCGATCTCGGCTCACTGCAACCTCTGCCTCCTGGGTTCAGGCAATTCTCCTGCCTCAGCCTCCTAAGTAGCTGGGATTGTAGGCACGCACCACCATGCCCAGCTAATTTTTTGTATTTTTAGTAGAGATGGGGTTTCACCATGTTTGCCAGGCTGGTCTTATACTAATGACCTCCCAAAGTCCTCAGCCTCCCAAAGTGCTGGGATTACAGGCGTGAGCCACCACACCTGGCCACAGCCTGTGTTTCTATCATCAAACATTTATAACAAAAATGCTTGCTACTAGCAATTCCTTACCCTAGAAGTGGTCTCTCTCTTTCTCCCTTCCTCTTTCCTTCCCTGCTACCGCCTCTCTCTCTTTCTCTTTCTCTGTGTTTTTTTCTCCTGCTCTTTCTCCATCTCTGTCTTCATTTCAGTCTCCATCTCTTCTGTCTCCGTTTCTGTCTCTGTCTCTCTCTTTCCCCTCTCCCTCTCTGTCCTTCTGTTCATCTCCTCCCATGTTGTTTCAGCTTTCTCTGCTTGGGGTTTCCTCACAAAGATGCCTTTGTGCTCTGCTCCATTGCAGTCATGTGGAGGATTATGCTGTGATTCTCTTCAGGGGGATGATTAACTGTCCTTTTTGTGGCAGTGCCATATGTGCCTGGGCCTTCCTCTGACACCCCTCAGCCTCACCCATCAGCCCCAGCAGCCTGGGCAGCGTTTTCCGGTTTCACCATGGCTCAGCCTCTGTCCTGTGGGCTACCCAAGGTGTCCACCCCATCTTTAGGACACTGAGGAACATTCGAAGTTAGGCAGTGCTTCCTTGAAAGTTTACTCTAAGCCAGCCCTGGGGCCACTTCAACTTCAGAGCAATGTGGCAGGGTCCTTCCTAGAAGCTGTCATCATGCACTGCAGACAGCACAGCCAAGACACACCTCCTTCCTGCCTGTCACACAGTCCAAACCTCGCACCCACAACAGTCAGAGCACAGGGCCACCAGGGTGCTCAGCTGACTCCATCCCCTGCAAAAACTGGCCTCTGTCCTCAGTATCTATTCCCAAAATGTGAGCCTTTTGCCCTCAAGTATGAGTGTATTTGACTCATTGCAAGTGTACTGCGGCCCACAAGAAAGCAAGTGAGAATCTTGTTCCACTGATAAAGAAAAAGCAACATATTTCTGTTTAGCCTTTTGAATTTTTCTGAGGAAGCCAGGATTCTCTATTAATTATTGAAATAGTTATGTTGCATGAATTTGAAAGGCACTGTTGGGATTTCTTTTTTCTTTCAGTGATGATAATAATGCATGCCTTGTTTACTGTTTTTTAGGTTCAATAGATGACGTTTTTAACTGCAATCTGTCACCCAGATCGTCTCTGACAGAGCCTCTTTTGGCAGAATTACCATTTCCAAGTGTTCTGGAATCTGAAGAGACACCCAACCAATTTATCTGATTGGACTGAACATTCTAGCAGTTGCTCCTACACCCCAAGCCTGTGCCAGACTATGGGCTGGGTGGAGGGTAGGAGGTGGGAGGCAGGTACTTCCACCTGCGTGTCAGTCTCCAGCTCCTTCATGGCTTCTATGGAGGGCTCCTCTCTTCTGTTTCTGTGGATGTAATACCTTGGCAGGCCCAGGACAGCTATTCTCCTGAAGGTTATGGTTACTAGGATGGAAAGGCCTTGGGCCCATGGCACTGGGGGGGTCTGGGGCCGGGATATAACCTCTACTTTGAACCGTTCTCCAAAGAGGCAGAAAAGACCACAGAGTTCAGCCACCCTGAACATTTTTCTCCATACCCTGGGAGTCTTCCGAGCAGCCTTCGTGGGAGTGGTCTGACTGGGTGTTGACCCAGCATGCTTTATAAATCATGGTTTGGCCCTCTGCTTAGGGCATCCAACCCCTTGAACTCAAACCTGTCAAACAAGGGGTTAACAGATCTGTTCATTTGCAAACCTGGCTGGGCAAAAGCCTGTGCCATCTTTCATTGGAAGGCAAATATGTTTTTCGTCCTGCCATTTGATACCTATGAGAAACGCTCAAGGTTCACTGGAGAACTAGCCAGGTTGCTAGGACAGTAATCCTGCCACACACTGCCTGAAATCAGAACTCCCTCGGCCTCCCTCTTAACTGAGTGACCCATGTAGAATGAAGCTAGGTGATGTGGTACCAACAATGACAGGGGAAGGGTATTGGACATGGCAGTGTTCTCTTTATAGAAAGCACATTGTGTCCATTGGGAATTTTAAATAAGCTTTTAGCAATCTTATCACTAAAAGCAAAATAGAAGAAAGCTATATCATTACCATAACACATTTTTCATCTCATGGCTACAATGGAATTCTCGAAAAGGAAAAAAAATCATTCTATCTACATATGAATACCTGCATGAATGAATCACTACATATGCTTATAATGAGGAAGAGTTATGGGTCCTGAGTGTAATTTTTTTATCCTTTCTTAAAAAGAGTTTCTGTATTATACATTTTTATAACACTCCTGATGATCTTTCCATTTATATTTGAAATGTTATGTACTACATTTGTACAATTAAAACTTTTCTTAGCATTCAACCTAGAATTGATTAAATTTACGACTGAGGCTTCACATGAGCTTTCCTTTGTGGTTTATGGGCTGTGTATTTGCCTTGTAACTTACTGAATTACAGTAAGAATTGTGGGTTTTCATAGCCGCTTTCTCAAGAAGAGCTTTTTGAAGAAAGTAAATCAAGTTTGATGCTGATCTTTCAGAAAAGAGGAGAGGAATGCTGCTTAATAGCAAAAGAGGTTAAACATTTATTATTTGCACTCAGTAAAAAATGAAGAGTCTTAACAATATAAGTTTTACACTAGTGCAAACAAACCTTAGGTGGATATCAAATATGAAATGCTTCCCAAAGGAAACTCTATTCACAAAATTGACAAAGGAGTTTTTTTTTTTTTTTTTTTTAAGTAGCAGAATTGAGAAAACCCATCAGTATCACTCCAGGAATGGACTAAAAATCTGGAAGGTTTCTTTTACCACTAAAAACTTCTTTTCAGTCAACTGAACCAAATGCATTCACACATTCAATATTCACTCAGCAAAGTTTTATTGATTACCTCTAAGAAATATACACTGTGCTAGTATATTTTATTAGCAAATATCGCAAAGAAGTTATATTGGGCCATCTTTAAAACTGATGAAAAGTCTAGGAACAGATCTTCCTGGGTAAAAGAGGCCTCACACTGAGTATAAATGTGGCCCAATGCTGATATTTTAACAGTTGAAGATCAATGCAATCTGTAGGACAGCAATGACCTAAGCAAGTCATTCATTCATTCAATTCATTTTCATTTATTCAACACACATATTTGAGTGCCTACTAGGTGCCATAGGTGCACATCAGATAGATGCTAGCATAGAACGGCACCTAAACATGGCTTTTGCCCTCAAAGAGCTTCCAGTCTTATAAAAGAAGACTCGTATATAAGCTAATAAGACTAATAAAACAAGTGCTCTGAGAAATTCAAAAAGAAAAACATCTAAGATGCCTGTAATCCAGTTTTGGAGATAAAAACCAAAGACATGTACTATAGAATTTTGTTTTTATTTTATTTTATTTTTGAGACAGAGTTTCACTCTTGTTGCCCAGGCTGGAGTGCAGGGGCATGATCTCGGCTCACTGCAAATTCTGCCTCCTGGATTCAAGCAATTCTCCTGTCTCAGCCTCTTGAGTGGCTGGGATTACAGGTGTATACCACTGTGCCTGGCTAATTTTTGTATTTTTGGTAGAGACAGGGTTTCACCATGCTGGTCAGGCTGGTCTCAAACTCCTGACCTCAGGTGATCCCCCTGCCTTGGTCTCCCAAAGTGCTGGGATTACAGGCATGAGCCACTGTGCCTGGCAAAATTTAGTTTAAAAACAAATATTTAAGAATTGATTGATCCAGGTGATTGATTTACCCAAGCTCTCAGTGACCTTGGGGGCCATCACTTATCCCAACAAGAATGCAGGTACAAAAATGATTTACAAAATTAGGGAATTTTTTTCTTATTGCCCGATGGTACTAGCCTGATTTTTGGCTAAAAGATAACATTGCTCAACTTGATCACCTACCTTAATTATCAACTTGAATGTCGTTTTACTGTTTCAAATATCCAATCTATCCTCGAAGAGCAAAGTTATGCCTCCATTGAAGAAATCCAAAAGAATGTGTGTGTCAGTTTTCGAAGGGAGTTTCTAAAGAATTTCAAAAATGCTTCAAGCAATAGCAACAGTAATATGGTTTGGCCGTGTCCCCACCCAAATCTCACCTTGTAGTTCCCAGAATCCCCACATATCATGGGAGGGACTAAGTGGAGATAACAGAATCATAAGGGCGGTTCCCTCATCTGTTCTCATGATTGCAAGTTAGTTCTCACGAGATCAGATGCTTTTATAAGGGGCTTCCCCCTTCACTGGGCATTGATTCTCCCTCTTGCTGCCCTGTGGAAGAGGGGTCTTTTGCCATGATTGTGAGTTTCCTGAGGCCTCCCCAGCCATGTAGAACTGTGAATCAATTAAACCTCTTTTCTTGATAAATTACCCAGTCTGGGGTAGTTCTTCATAGCAGTGTGAGAATGAACTAATATAAGCAGCACTCAAATAAATGATTACTTTGAGAACATGAAAAAGAACATTCTGAAAGAGGGCATTCATTTAGATGGATAAATGCTGGTATAACGAATTCAAAATGACTGTTCACTTTTGCTGTTTGCTACTTGCATAAACCTGAGAGAACTAACAATGAAAGGCGTTGATAATTACCTAATGGCCGCTGTGGCCTGTGTGTTTCTTAAGTGTTCAGAGAAGAGGCCAGGTACAGTGACTTACAACTGTAATCTCAACACTTTGGTAGAATGAGGTGGGTGGATGGCTTGAGCCCAGGAGTTTGAGACCAGCCTGGGCAAAATGGTGAAACCCCATCTCTCCCTCGCAAAAAAAGAGTTCAGATAAGAATCAGCAAGAGGAGGGCTGGCCAAGGAGGGAGGTCACATTTAAAGGCAATTGATGAGGTTTTGATAGAATCAATAGTCTGTACTTGCCGTTATGGTTTTCTTTAGATGAAATATAAGTAAATTTGGTAAGTAACAAGTTAGAAGCAGAGCTTAGAATTTACCCCATTAAATTAGACTATCCTGATAAAATAGAAAGTAACTGTAGATTATTTTTTCTGGAATTTTCAATAAGAGGACCCAAATCATTCTTGGACTACTTACCCACAATTCCCATTAGTTGCAACTATGACCTTGATGGCTCAACAAGATCTGAGTCTGTGTCAGCTAATTTTATGTGTCAACTTGATGGGGCCACAGTGCCCAGGTCGTTGGTCAACCATCTTCTGGATATTTCTGTGAGGGTGCTTTTGGATGGGATTAACGTTTACATCATGGACTTTGAATAAAGGAGATTGCCCTCTCTGATGTAGGTGGGACTGATCTAATCAGTGGAAGGATGAACTAGAACAACGCATTGGCTTCCCCCCAGCAAGGGTGAATTCTGCCAGCAGGCAGCCTTCAGACACAAGCTGCAACATCGACTCTTCCCTGCGTCTCCAGACCGCTGGCCTACCGCACAGACTTTGGACTCGTCACAATTGTGTGAGACAATTCCTTAAAATAAATCTCTATTTTATTTTAAAAATAAGGACACTCGAATCAAAGCATTGCATACTGCATAGTAATAGAAAGCCTCTTGTCCAAATGTAAGAGCAAAGGCAGAGAAGCTTCACTTCCTATCTTTGTATTCAAAGTAGCTGGCAAGGCTGCAGACTGTCTGTGACCTCTTCTGGGCTTTTGGCAGCAGCCACCTGTCAATTCTTTTACCCATTCTTCATTAGCTTCCTCTTTGAACTTTTGCCTTCAACTCTTTCCTCTCTCCCTCTCATTTGGGAGATGACCTTGCCCCTCGTACGACCTGGAGCCATGCTTCTCAAACTGGAATGTTCCTAGGAATCCTCCAGAGATCTCGACAGAGTGCAGATCCTGATTCAGCAGCTCTGGGTGGGGCCTGAACGTCTACATTTCTAACGAGGTGCTGCTGAGGTTACTGGAGCACAGCAAGGCTCTACATCTGTCCATCTCAAACTCTGTGAATGACCTGGGATATTGTTAGAAATACAGCAGCTCAGGCTCTGCCTGACTTCCTGAATCTGAATTCATGTGCTCACAGACGCCCAGGGGCAGGTATGCACACTCAGATTGGGGAGTGGCTCCAGCACACTGGTCTTCTCCAGGCCTGGGCCCCATCTGCTCTCTCCTATAGCTTCAAGCTCTCTCTGTCTGCTCCTGATCCTGGGCCTAGGAATTTGGTTACTCCTCCCCTGCTTTAAGTAATAACTCTCTGCTTGAGCCCCTCCTCCTCCCATGGCTAGAGGTTTTCTTCTCCTTTATAGTTAAAACTCGAGTGTTCCATATTTGCTGTCTTTCACCCTTACCTCCCATCCCAGTCTTTACTACTTCATATCATGTTCTCTGTGTGTGTGTGTTTGTGTGTGTGTACGTGCAGTAAGAAATTGATTGTAACACATTTTTTGCTTTTTGTTTTTGGAGATGGAGTTTGTCATCCAGGCTGGAGTGCAGTGGCACCACCACAGCTCACTGCAGTCTCAGACTCCTGGGTTCAACCGATCCTCCCACCTCAGCCTCCCAAGTAGCTGGGACTAAGCGTATGTATCACCACACCTGGCTAATTTTTTCATTTTTTGTAGAGATGGGGTCTCCCTATGTTGTCCAGGCTGGTCTCGAACTACTAGGCTCAAAGGATCCTCCTGCCTCAGCCTCCCAAAGTATTGGAATTACGAGCATGAGCCACTGCACCCAGCTGTAATCATTTCAACTGAAAACAGCCAATTAACATTTAACCCATTCAATACAACTATTCTCAATTGTATTGGATCAATTGGAAACTCTGCTAAAAGGATATCAGTAACCTAAATTAGTAACCTAGATGCTTTAATTTCTGAAACTTACTCTGGCAGGATGATGTGGAATTTTGCCTCTCCTTCTGGAATGAGGCCAGGATTTACTTAAACTCCCAGCCTGGCCCCTTCACTGCACTGTTTAACCCACACACGCGCGGGTGAAGTCAAGCTTCTCAGCATGGCCTGCAGACCTTCCTGGCCAGCCAGCTCTCAGTTTCTCCCGACACTCTTTACAGTATGGCAGTATTAAACTTCTAAAGGTCTCAGGACTGCATGCACGGTTCTGTGCCTCTGAGCCCTTGCCCTACTTTGTGTCACCTCCTCCGTTCACCTGGGTGACTCCAAGCATCCTTGAGGACACAGCTCAGGTACCTCCTCTTCTACGAAGTTGCTCACTGTAATAACCAGGGGGTTGCCCCGATGCCATCATACAACTCCTCCTGGTCAGTATTTGTTGAGGGATAGAAGAAAGGCAGGGGGCAGGGAATCTCTACTTAATCATTTAGAGGGGTTGCCTCAGGCAACCAGAATTCAAAGGCAGGAATAGTGCTATACTGCTAGCCACAAAATAGACCCACGCAAAAATACACTTTGAAGCAGAAATGAAAGAATATAAAAGGAATGAAGATCAGAATAGCAACAAGAGCAATACCTTAGATTTGTGAGACTTTACAATTTATAAATTACTGTTGGAACTCTTCAGGTTTAGAGCACAGCGAGGTGGGTGCTGGTATTCTCACTTACAGATAAGAAGACCGGGGCTCGGGAAAGACCTGCTTACCCTGAGGGCCTGCAGTGACAGATCTTCTGGCTCTCTATTAGGTGCCTACTCCGGCATTTCGCAGCTTGCCTAAAATGAGACAAATTGTAAGATATTAATAAGAATTCACTTTCAAAATTCTATATACTTGCTGTTCTATTTTAAAAACATACTTCTCTTAAATTATGCTATGCTAATTCGTGCTACCATTTCCAGCAGGAATCTGTTACTGGGTGCTCCTTTTTAAATTTAGATGCCACTACTAAATCCTAATTTAGACTCATTCCTTTTAATAACGTCTATGCCTTCTAACGTGTTCCACCCTTCATTGCTTCCAAATATGAGAGTTTAAAATGTGTTCTAGTCATTCCATTATACGGATCGAACTCTACCTTCAGAACATTCTAGTTTAGCTCTCCATTTTAAAGAAATTCGTTGCATACGTATTTGGGATCCTTACCTTGATGCTTCTCCTGTGTCCTCTGATAAATTCCTCCTTTGTCACATTGCACTGTTTCTCTGAGGTCTTATATTAGAATGGCCCTTTAAGAATAAGGAACTGTTGTAAATTGCTTTGTAAACAGGTTGCCGGCCGACTCCAATATGTATTTCCTGTCTTCTCTTTCCACTCAAGTGGGTAATAACTGTGTTGTAACCTGGAGGCATTCAGTAGTCACTACCCACCTAGTATGTCAAATTACCTGGCAGTGTTAGCCAGCAAAAGGGGCTCACCGCACTAGAAGCCAACATTATGACACCAAGGTTTTGAGAAAGGAAAAGCTTTATATTGCCAGTCTGCCTCTGAGGAGACAGGAGTCTAGTTCACATCTATCTTCTTGTACTGGCTTTGAGGCAGTAATTTTACAAAAGGTTTAGGGGTGGATTCTGGGGTTAGCAGGTAGTTATTGGAGGAAGCAAAGGGGACATCTGGGAAGTCTTCAGGCATGCACGGTCCTCTCTTCATGCTTCCTCATAGGTCCCATGTGCAAATGTGGAGGGAGTTAGTATGAAACGTGGTAGAAATTCAGGCTGTGACATCGGCAAGCTTGCTGTGCACAAACTCCATTTGGCCATATTGATTCCAGCTGGTTTCAACCAGTTTTGTTATAAGCAGAGGGAGTTCCAGCAAGTTGTTTCTTTTCTTATTTGCCATCCTGCAAACATGAATTTTTAGTTGTTGGTGTCTTTGAGTCTTTGAAACACTTTCAGTAGTTCCCAAGATAGGAAGATAGAAGAGCCCCTTCATCCGTGAAAAGTCTTACATGCGGATGAAACACACAGCTTTCTCTATGAGAGCAGAACAACAATTAAATGACACTCACAAACACTATGGTTGATGCCAGGAACATGGCAGTGTCACATCCTCCCTGCCCACTGGTGTTTCCATTTCCCTTTCTGTCCCTCTCCTAAGCTAGGATGCCCCTTCTGACCCCATGGAACTATCACAGAAACTGCTTCCATTTATACCAGATGACTTGAGATTCAGTCTTCTTGCTCGGCTCTTATTTACTGCAAAGATCCAGGACAACTCTGCGCACATTTGCTTAAGCTGAAAGCCAATGGATGAAAGTTTGCAGTTGAAAATCTGCACTACTACTTTCTCTTCAATCCTTTCCCTTTTTGCTTTTCTTAGGAAACATACAAGACAGTAGTCAGGAAAGCTCACCGCAAGAACTACACAAATAATGTAAAAGTAAGGCATCCATAGGATCAAAGCCACATTTCTTTGCTCTCTGAACCCTATTTCCGCGCCGGCTGGGTTAAGCTTCCTGCGTGGCCAGCATCCGTTGGCCGAGGGAAGAGCTCCGTTGAACTCGACCCTTGTCTCCATGGCGACGCGTCACAAAGCGGCCTGCGGCTCCTGCAACGCAGAGTAGGGCTGCAGCCAGGGCCCCGCGGCCGCCTAACTCGGGCAGAATGGAGCAGCCTGGGACCCGGGCTCCGGATCCCTCTCTCTGCCACCACAACCTCCGGCCAAGTAAGACAGGGGACTCTGCCGGCCCGCGAGGAGGGGCGGAGGTCTTTCCTGGGGAAAGGGTCCTGTTGAGAAAAAGGGGACTTAGGTCTTTTTTTTTTTTTTTTTTTTGAGACGGAGTTTCTCTCTTGTTACCCAGGCTGGAGTGCAATGGCGCGATCTCGGCTCACCGCAACCTCCACCTCCTGGGTTCAGGCAATTCTCCTGCCTCAGCCTCCTGAGTAGCTGGGATTACAGGCACGCGCCCCCATGCCCAGCTAATTTTTTGTATTTTTAGTAGAGACGGGGTTTCACCATGTTGACCAGGATGGTCTTGATGTGTTGACCTCGTGATCCACCCGCCTCGGCCTCCCAAAGTCCTGGGATTACAGGCTTGAGCCACCACGCCCAGCCCGGGACTGCGGTCTTTAAGGGTGTGGCCTCGCTCTTCGGAGTGAGCTCAACTGAGAAAAAGACGGAGGAGTCAGGGAGAATGACAAGGCATTCTTGATCCTACCCCTTTTGAGTCCTTCACATACCCTTTGCCAAGTCCCCGCTCCCTAAAACGCGCAGGGTTAAGTTTTAAACACCCAAGGAAACTCCTGGCTAAGAGCGGACAGGAAAAAGGAAGAACTGGTGATTATCCAAGGAGAACAGGGCCAAAGGCCAAGAGTAAAGAGAAGTCCGGGAAGCTTTGATGAGAACAGACCCTGCCTGAGTCCTGATCCCCATACAGGGTCTAGGAAACAGCAAGGAAAGTGGGGGAGGGGCGGCTGCTGGATGCAGTCCCAGCGGTGTCTGCAGAGGCGGGGGCCCTCCCTGGGCAGTCGCACAGGCTGGGAGCCACGGCCTCTAAACCTGAACTGATTTTTCTTCCACGGAGATTTTGTATTTCACAGAGGTAGTGCTTTCCACCCTAATTCTGCCCGCAGATGCAGTAGGTTCACCAGTTCAGCCTTTTGGGTCTGCAGAAGGAGAGCCACTCTAGCTGTGACGCTAGTGGCATAATACCGTGTAGTCAGCTCCGTCATGGTCTCTTGTGGCAATAATTGCCCATTGCTGCCGTCTAGGTGGGTAATTGTGATTCCACAGTGGCGACAGAGCAGTGAGGGATTGTTCAAGTACAAATTCCCTAGAATTGCGTTCCCACAAGAATGAATGAAATGCATCTTTTCATTCCAATTCATTCCTCTGTAAATTAAGAATGGAAAATGAAAATACTTAATTAGTGCAGAAAATCTCGAATATGCACAGTTTCTATATGATGCTCAAGGCAAACACGAGAGACAGAGGAAGGAGGATCTCCTCATAGGATCCCGACAGCATCCCTTTGGACGCTCCTCTTCCCTTTTTTTTTTTTTTGACACGGAGTCTTGCTCTGTCTCCCAGGCTGGAGTGCAGTGGCACAATCTCAGCTCACTGCAATCGCCACCTCCTGGGTTCAAGTGATTCTTCTGCCTCAGCCTCCAGAATAGCTGGGGCTACAGGAGTGTGCCACTGTGCCCAGCTAATTTTTTGTATTTTTAGTAGAGACAGGGTTCCACTGTGTTAGCCAGGATGGTCTCGATCTCCTGACCTCATGATCTGCCCGCCTCGGCCTCCCAAAGTTCTGGGATTACAGGCATGAGCCATTCCACCCAGCTTTCCTCTTTCCTTTCTAACCTCCCCGTTTTCCCACTGTCTCCCTGTCTCCTCCTTGTCTGGGAACTGCTAGAGTCCTCCAAGATTGACTCTTCTGGGCTTACGGTCTCTTCATGACCCCATCCTGCCACAGGGCTTCAGGTGCTGCATAAAAGGGCCAACAACTCTCTAATCTTTATCTCTGACTTGGACTTGCCTCCTAAAACCAGCCAGTTCCATGTGGGTGTCAGAGCAGGGTCTCCAACTCGACATGTACAAAATCACACTCCTTGTCCTCCTCAAACTTTCCAGATACTGAGAGTTCAGTTAAGAAGGTCCCAGCCGCACAACTGAGAAGGGGAGGCAGCTTCTTTGAGACTGCTGTTTGATCACCAGTTCTCTGATTCTGCCTCCAAAGCTCTTTTGCCCCCTTTACCTCCAGTCTCGGGCCTCTAATGGCTACTCTGTGCCACCTCCTCTCCCACTGCTGGGAGAGCCACCCTCCAAAAGGTGGGCTTGGTACGTCACCACTGCCCAGCTTTGGTCCAAAGTAGGATGAGGTTGATGGTGACTGTGGTGACTAACTGCTACTGAATAATTACTACACAGCGCTCCCAGGTGCTGGGTTAGTTTCCTGTGGCTGCTGTATGTTCCCACAGACTGGCGGATTCAAACAACAAAAATGTATTTGCTCACAGTTCTGAAGGTCAAGAGTCTGAAATCAAGGTCTGGACAAGCCTGCACTCCCTCTACAGGCCCTACAGGAGAAGCAATTCTTGCCTCTTCCAGCTTCAGGTGGCCATCGGCGCTGCTAATGATGGGTGGCTGCTGCCATCATGCCAGCTGCAGCCAGGAAGCACAGCTGGGGCTGCACCCTCCATGGAGTCAGTGGGAGCCCTGCCCTTTGCAAGTTGGGATGGGAGCTCCCTGTGCCACTACAGCTGCCCAAACCGCAGCTGCAGACCCAGGCCTCCTGCTCTATTGAGCAGGCAGGAGCCCTGCCCTCCTGGAATAGACTACAGCCACCCAAACTGCGGCAGTGGGTCTGAGCCTCCCTGTGCCTCTGAGCCTCCCTGTGGAACCCACAGCTGCAGACCTGGGCCTCCCACTCCATGAAGCAGGCAGGAGCTGGGGACAAGAGGGAGCCCTACCTCTTCCGAGTTGGTGGGGCTGGAGCTCCCTGGTGCCCCTGTGGCTACCCTCCCAGGCACAGGACCTGGGCATCTCTGCAGCCTGCACCCTTGGATGCCCCAAGAAGGACATCCCTCACCCATCTATCCCTGCAGGCTTAGGGGTGTCTGCTTCACTGGCTTCAATCTCAGAGCGAGATTGAGGTCAAGCACCATGGCTATGAATGGCAGCAGGAGGCAGACAGAGTCCTGGGTGGAAGGGGGTGGGGTCCCCAGTAAGGCCCCACCCTCAGACCAGGAAGGGCCTGAAGCCTGGGGACCAGGCTGCCAGTTGGGAACCAGGAACCAGAGCAGGGCCTCATGATGCCTCCTCTGGCCTGCCTATGGCTGCCCATGGACCAATTGGCATTCACTTCCCTTCCTGTGGAGTCCATAAAAGCCCTGGGCTCAGCCAGAACAGGGCAGGGGTCCACCAGAGGACAAAGAGGGCAGGGAGAGACAAGAGAAACACCAGCTGAAGAGGAGTATGCTCTCTGCTGATAGCTGGAGATGATGGGGTAACTAGCCACAGAGAGGAAGGAGTACCCTCTCCACTGAGAGCTGCAGAGACGACCTACTGACAGAGAGGAGTTACCCTCTCTGCTGAAAGCTTCAGAGATCTGCAGAGACCTCTGAATTACCTGCCTATGGAGAGACCTCTGACTGACTTGCCTATGGAGAGGAGCGAACCTGTCCAGGGCCTCCTCTCTGCTGAGAGCTGAGCACTCGACGACCGGACAACGTGCCTACAGAGAGGAGCTGCCCACTCCTCTGAGCTGTTCTAACACTAACACTCTTCTTCACTCTTCACTTGTCTGTGTACCTCAATGCAGGACAAGAACTCTGGCAAAGACTGGCAAAAGAATTGCAGCCACAGAGGTGTCCAGCCAGAAAAATGAACACCCCAGAGACATCCTGTAACACTAGCTTACGGTCTCATTACTCCAGGTCTCTGCCTGTGTCTTCTGAGGACACTTGTCATTGCATTTAGGGTCCACGAGGATAATCCAGGATGATGTCCTGATCTCGAGATCTTTCATTGTATGAGCAAAGACTCCTTTTCCCAATAAGGTCAGATTCACAGGTTTTGGGGATGAGGACATGGATCTATCTTTGTGTAGTGCCACCATGCAGCATACTACGAACAACTTATATTTATCAATACCTCAAATCCTCAAAACAAAAATGAGGGAGTAAAACAATATATATGAAAACATTTTGTAAAGCATAATGGAATATACATGTTAGTTACTATTTTACAATATTTTCAAAGCTTTATATTTTCCTAATAGTAAACATACTCATCCAGTGGGTTGCCAAGGTTAGCAGAATGAGGCTTTAGGATGCTTTGCTGACCTGTCATCAGCCATCTTTCCCTTTGCTTCATTCACTTGGGGCCATTTGTTGTATCTCGTCTCAGACTCTCATACCTCCTGCTACTTCCTCTATAAATTGCTTTACTTCATATCCCGTGTTCACCCCTCAAACATCTACTAAGTTAAATCCCAGCTCAGATGCCACCTATGCTATGATGACCCCTGGGCCTGCCCCTGCTTCCCCATCTTCTCATCCAAGCAAAAAAGAATTGCACCTTCTTCACGGTCCCTGTGACCCATAGGACATCAGCGCTACATTAATGTTGTGTTCGAAGGATACATACCTCATCTCCTGTCTTGTGAGTTCTCCAAGACCAGGTGAAGACTCTAAGTCCCAGTGCCAGCACAGGGACGTCCGCGGGACGGCTTGGGGATTGGTTTGCAGGAGGAACAGAAAATAAGAGAAGAAAGGAACAGGAAGACAGAATCACAGGAAAGATGGATATGAGCTACAGAAAAAGACACTGAGACACCAAGAAGAAAGTAGTGACATGCATAGAATAGATTTTCAGAATATTGTGATTACAGATTTCTCAATGAACATTTGTGTTAATGAAGATTAATTCCAATAGCATACTGTATTTTCAGAAGCTTTGTCAATGGAGGTAAAAAGCATGGAAATACCGCCCTGGCAAAAAGGGTTGTAGTATGGGAAATCATGAAGATGGAATTAAAGGAAGATCAAGTGTGTATCCGAGCAGGTTAGGATTAGGGAGTGGAGGGAGTTGCTGATCTGTACAAAGGTAACACAGGAAGTGAGAGGCTCACATGGCCTTGGTTCCTGGAAGCAGCGAGGCGTGCTGCTCTTATCCATCAGACTCCTGAGACTGGCACCAAGCAACTGGTGACCCCGGTTGCCAGTCTATCTTCAGAAGGGATAGGACCCTAGACAGGAACACAGAGAGGCGTGTCATGCTTGCCCATTGGGAGGTTGATTGGGAGATGCTGCCTGGAGTGCTGTTCGTTCTGCCAGGCTTTTTGAGGCATAGCTGAGCCTAATAGAAATGTGATCTGAACGGTTAGAGTTGTTTACCTTAGAGAAAAAGAGGGAGAAGTCATATGTGGTTTTGTGCAGAATAGCCTTCCTGATCCTTCCAAAAGTCCAGTGCAGGAGTTCGAACCAGGTTAGAGAAGGCTTCGTTTACAAGTGGCATGCCTCACCGTTTCTTCCCTTTTACTTGTCTGCACTTGCAATTCTTTTAATAAAGAACATTTCCCGGTCAACATGGTGAAACTCCGTCTCTACTAAAAATATAAAAAATTAGCTGGGCATGGTGGCGCGTGCCTGTAATCCCAGCTACTCGGGAGGCTGAGGCAGGAGAATTGCCTGACCCCAGGAGGCGGAGGTTGCAGTGAGCCGAGATCGCACCATTGCACTCCAGCCTGGGTAACAAGAGTGAAACTCCATCTCAAAAAAATAAAAATAAAGATAAATTTTATAATTTTGCTATTGGGATATCGTGCTTTCAAGCATAAAGTAATTCCCCCTAAAGCAGGAATATTGGAGAATGATATCATTTATTATAGAGCAGGATTAGAAACACAGGTACAGACTGGAGTGTTCCAGTCTCGGCCTTGGAACTTCTGCTCCAAGTCTACTTTCTCCTTCATTGATCTCCCTACTCTCATAGCTTTAAATAGCATCTACATCACAGAATTTTGCACAACCATTGCAAGACATGAATTAAAACTATGCCAGATGAGTTGGAGGTGTTTTCCGTCAGATCAGACACTGTTAGTGACAGATATAAGACAAAGACACTTTGTGTCAGATGCGCTCACTTTTATGAAACAAAAGATTGAGAACCGAAACCCAATATGCCTATGTATAAATCTGCATGTGATTACCTCCACATGTATGCAAAGAAACAGGCACAATTTTTAACATGTGCTGCCTGGAGGAAGGGATTGGAAGGAGCATGGCAATGGTAGGGAAAGGAAAAAGTAAGGAGGTGTCCATTATAAAACCTGACGTGTCTGATGTAATCTCCTGTGTGAAAAATCATTCCATGTGTCTACAGGTACATCTAATATGATGCACATAAAGTTGGTGACTAAAACATCATAGTGAGTCTCTTAAGGTGATAGAATTTCAAATGAACTACTTTCCTTTTTATATTTTAATGTCTGTCTTTAATTCTTTAAAATAGCATGCATGAATGCTCAGGACAAACAGTAGAACTATTTTATTTTGCGGTGAAGCACACGTAAGTCGAGCTTATTCCTGTTAGAGGCTGTATGTTGATCTTTATTCCTTAGACTCTAAAGGTAAATTATTATCCAGAATGTTTTTTTTTTCTCTTGCAAAGTTATCTTAATCATTAAAACAATGTTTCATCAAAATATTCTGGTTTACCACATTTAAAAATGCTTTATTTTACTTTTAGCAGGTGACCCCAACTGGGATTCCTATGCTACCACTGTGAGGACTGCATTCACACCTAAGACAGGAGTGGTGCCTGCTTTAATTCGGTAGATCCTTATTTGAGTTGGATTGATTTACGTGTTTTAATTTGTTGACTTGTCTTTTATGACTTGGAATCTAAACACATAGACAATAGAGAAGCCTCATAGAAATGCCCTTGGATAGGGGTTACTGTGTACACAGCTCTCCTCCAAGTATGAGTGATACCTCCACCCTCAAACGATGTCCAAACTTCCTATAGGAAAACCAAGAAAACGGCCACTGATTTTTCATAAAGTTACTGTGTATTGTGGTTTACAGCAGACCCCAATATACAGGTTAATAAGATTGTGCTACCTAGGCCGGGCGCGGTGGCTCACGCCTGTAATCCTAGCACTTTGGGAGGCCAAGGTGGGTGGTCACTTGAGGCCAGGAGCTCGAGACCAGCTTGGCCAACATGGTGAAACCCCATCTCTATTTAAAAAAAAAAAAAAAAAAAATTGTGCTACCTAAACATTCATGTGACTTGAATCCTTTCCCTGATGTATAGTAGGCAGGCAATGGAAACTGAGTGAATAGATAAATGAATGAATAAATACTTTTTATCACAGCATCACCAAGACTAGTCATGGAAGCTGGAGGAAGGCCACTGTCCCCCTATTCTTACCTCCACTCCTCCAGATACTGCAATACTGGCTTCAGCTTCTCCATTTCATCCTGAGCTGAGGGTATTGGGAGTTTCTAAACATGAGCTGCCTTTCTAAACTTTGAAACTCATCAGTTGGTGAGTGAGAGTGGCATTAGGGGAGCCCCATCATCTTTCACTGTGTTGCTAGTAGGTATGAAATCAGCATGGAGAGCCTTCAATTATCATGTTCATTCTGTGAATTGTTTCCAATAAGAATCTTTTTACTTGAAGCCTGGCCAACATGGTGAAACCCTGTCTCTACCTCAAATACAAAAGTTAGCCAGGAGTGGCAGTGGGAGCCTGTAATCCCATCTACTCAGGAGGCTGAGGCAGCAGAATTGCTTAAACCTGGGAGGTGGAGGTTGCAGTGAGCCAAAGTCATGCCACTGCACTCCAGCCTGGGCGACAGAATGAGGTTCTTTTCACCTTAATAGTTCAAGTTATTGAGAAGTGGAATGGAGTATTGGTAAGACCATGGCTGTGGTGTTAGAGGAAATGGCTTCTAGCCACAGCCCCTTACTGTATCATCTCTGCTACCTTAGGCAAGTAACAAGCCATCTGGGGCTCATTTTTGTCATTGGTGAAATGGGGACGATGATACCTGCCTAAAGAGGCTGTTCTGAGGACACAAACCACTAGGACAGTGACTAACACAAAGAAATTAGTCGTTTTCATTTATTTTTTCCACCATAGTATATGATAGATCTACAAAAAGTACAAAGCTGGGGGGTCCAGAAGGCGAGGTCATGAGTTCAAGGCTAACCTGAGCAACCTTATAAGCTCAAACTGATTGGCAAAAAAAAAAAAAAAAGTACAAGGCTACAAGATTCCAGATTTCTGAGTTACTAGCTATCCCAGAGAGTCCAGTAACTGGGAGGTCTTATCATCTGATTAATGAATGTACAAGGTATATGACTGTAACAGTTGCCTGAAGAAGAAACATTGGAGATGAAAGCCAAAAACAAATAGGTAACTTAGGGAGTCTAGGTCAGTGGTGTTTGAATTCACATATTTATAAAGTTCTCATAGAAGTTTTCAGTATAAAAATTTTAACTTTTTTATTTCAATAGCTTTGGGGGCGCACACGGTTTTTGGTGACATGGATGAATTGTATAACGGTGAAGTCTGAGATTTTAGGGTACCCATCACCCAAGTAGTGTACATTGTATTTCATATGTAGTTTTATATTCCTCATCCCCTTCCACCGCCCTCCCCACTTCTCAGTCTCCATCGTCCATTATGTCACCCTGTATGCCTTTGGGTACCCATAGCTTAGCTCCCACTTACAAGTGAGAACATATAGTATTTGGTTTTCCATTCCTGAGTTACTTCACTTAGAATAATGGCCTCCAGCTCCATCCAAATTCCTGCAGAAGACATTATTTTATTCTTTATCACGGCTGTGTAGTATCCCATGGTGTATACATGCCACATTTTTTTAATCCACTCACTCACCAATGGGCACTTAGGTTGGTTCGACATCTTTAAAATTGTGAATTTTGCTATGATAAGCATACATGTACAGTTGTCTTTTTAATAAAATGACTTATTTTCCTTTGGGTAGATACCCAGTAGCGGGATTGCTGGATCAAATGGTAGATCTACGTTTAGTTCTTTAAGAAATCTTCATACTGTTTTCCGTAGAGTTTGTGCTAATTAACGTTCCCACTATCAAGGTGTAAGTGTCCCCTTTCACCACATCGATGCCAGCATCTATTGTGTTTTGACATTTTAATAATTATGCTTGATAATTCTTTCTGCAGGAGTAGAGTGGTATTTCATTGCAGTTTTCATTTGTATTTCCTGGATGATTAGCGATGTTGAGCATTTTTGTCATGTTTCTTGGCCATTTCTATACCTTCTTTTGAGACGTGTCTGTTCATGTAATTTCCCCACATTTTGATGGGATTTTTTTTCTTGGTGATTTCTTTGAGATCCCTGTAGATTTTGGATGTTAGTCCTTTGTTAGATGCATAGTTTGCAAATATTTTTCTCCCATTCTGTGGGTTGTCTGTTTACTCTGATTATTCCTTCTGCTGTACAGAAGCATTTTAGTTAAATTAGGTCCCATTTTATTTATTTATTTTGTTTCATTTGCTTTTGGGGTCTTAGTCATGGATTATTTGCCTGAGCCAATGTCCAGAAGAGTTTTTCCTCGGTTACCTTCTAGAATTTTCATGGTTTCAGGTTTTTAAGTGTTGGATCCATCTTGAGTTGATTTTTGTGAGAGATGCTAGCCAATTTTCCCAGCACCATTTATTAAATATGATGTCCTTTCCCAAATTTATGTTTTTGTGTGTTTTGTCAAAGATCATTCGTTCGTAAGTATTTGACTTTATTTATGGGTTTTCTATTCTGTTCATTGGTCAGTTGGTCAATGTGGTTTTTTGTTTGTTTTGTTTTGTTTTTTACCAGTACCATGCTCTTTTGATAACTACAGCCTTGTAGAGTAATTTGAAGTTCAGTAATGTGATACATTCTGGTTTATTCTTTTTACTTAGGATTGCTTTGGCTATTTGGGTTCTTTTTGGTTCCATGTGGATTTTAGGATTTTTTTTTCTAATTCTGTGAAAAATGATGTTGGTATTTTGATAAGAATTGCATTGACTCTGTAGATTGCTTTGGGCAGTATAGTTATTTTCAAGATATTGATTCTTGCAATCCATGAAATGCATTCGTGGGATGTGTTTTCATTTGCTTGTATCACCTCTGATTTCTTTCAGTAGTGTTTTGTAGTTCCCTTGCAGAGATCTTTCACCTCCTTGGTTAGGCATATTCCTAGGTATTTTGTTCTGTTTTTTGCAGCCGTTGTACAGGGATTGAGTTATCGATTTGATTCTCAGCTTGGTCATTGTCGCATACAGCAGTGCTACTGATTTACCTACATTGATTTTGTAACTTGAGACTTTACTGAATTAATTTATCCAAACTCTAGGTATATGATCATATCATCAGCAGACAGCAATAATTTGACTTTCTCTTTTTGAACATGAATATGCTTTATATCTTTCTCTTGCTTGATTGGTCTGATTAGGACTTTCAGTACTATGTTGAATAGAAATGGTGAAAGTGGGCATCCTTTCCTTGTTGCAGGCCTCAGAGGAAATGCTTTCAACTTCCTACATTTGGTAAAACAAAAGCTGTGGTTTTGTCATAGATGGCTGTTACTATTTTGAGGTATACTACTTTGATGCCTAGTTTGTTGAGGGTTTTTATCATAAAAGCATGCTGGGTTATACTGAATGCTTTTTTTTAACATCTATTGAAATGATCATATGATTTTTGGTTTTTGATTCTGTTTATATGATATATCGCCTTTATTGACTTGCATATATTAAAGCATGCCCGCATCACTGGGATGAAACCAATTTGATTATTGTATATTATTTTTGATGTTGCTATTGACTTCCTACTATTGATATTAGTTAGTATTTTGTTGAGGATTTTTGCATCATGATATTGGTCTATAGTCTTCTACAGACCAATATTTCTGATTTTGGTATCAGAGTGATACTGGCTTCATAAAATGAGTCGGAGAGGATTCCCTCTTTCTCAATCTTTTGGAATAGTTTCAGTAGAATTGGCACCAATTTTTCTTAGAATGTCTGGTAGAATTCAGCTGTGAATCCATCTGGCCCTGGGCTTTTTTTGAAGTCAACCATTTTTTTCTTACTGATTCAATCTCACTGTGTGTTATTGGCCTGTCCAAGGTTTCTATTTCTTCCTGATTTAATCTAGGAGGCTTGTATGTGTTCAAGAATTTATTCATTTTCTCTGGATTTTCTAATTTGAGTGCACTGAGGTGCTCATAGTAGTCTTGAATGATCTTTCACAATTCTGTGGTGTCAGTTGAAATGTCTCCAGCTCCATTTCTAATTGAGTTTATTTGAATATTCTCTCTTCTTTTCTTGGTTAATCTAGCTTATGGTCTATCAATTTTACCTTTTCAAACAACCAGCTTTTTGTTTCGTTGGTATTTTACTTACTTTTTGTTACTGTTGTTGCTTCAATTTTATTTTGTTCTGCTCTGATCTTATTTCTTGTCTTGTACTAGCTTCGGGTTTAGTTTTTGTTGTTGTTGTTGTTGTTGTTTGTTTGTTTCTATAGTTCCCTGAAGTATGAAATTAGGTTGTCAATTGGTGATCTTCCAGACTTTTTGCTGTAGGCATTTAGTGCGGTTAACTTTCCTCTTAGCACTGCTTTTACTGTATCCCAGAAGTTTTGATAACTTGTGTCAGTCACTATTATCATTTATTTCAAAGAATTTTTAAATTTCCATCTTGATTTTGTTGTTAAGCCAAATATCGTGCAGGACCAGATTGTTTAATTTCCATGTATTTGTATAGTTTTGAGGGTTCCTTTTGGAGTTGGTTTTTAGTT